GGACTGGTGTAGATTGTTGGTGGGGTGGGGTATTGTTACCAAATGAACCATCGGTTATTGTTATTGTTATTGTTATTGATATTGTTATTGATGGTTGTAATTATATTTACAAAATATTGTAGTCCTCTTCTTATATAAAACATTTTATATTTAAATATGATTATTAAATAAATATATTATTAAAATTAAATGTTGAATTGATTTTTATTGTAAATTATTTGTATGCAGATAAATTAATAAAGAAAAAAAATAAAAATAATGAAATTTAAAAATTAAAAAAATTAAAATACAAAAAATAAATATAAAAAAAATTTTTATAAACTAGAAAGAACTGTTTTGAAAATTCTAATTTTTTATAATTTAAAGAAAAAATTAAAAAAAATAATTATAAAGTAATAATTTAGCTTATATCTTTTTTTTATACTGATTATTGATCATTTTTTTTATTTGATTTCGATTTTTTATAAAATTTTCTTTTAAAAGATATCCAAAACATTATACAAACTTTTTTATTTTAAAAATGATTTTTAAAAAAAAAATAAAAAATTTATTAATTAATTGATTTTTTATGATTTTATGATGTATACAACTGAATTTAAATTAATAACCATTCGATTTACATAAGAATAAATATTCCATATATTTAACTATTATATAGAGGTTGTTTTATAAAGAAAAAAATATATATAAATTAAATTATTTCTAATGTTCAACAAATAAAATAACAAATTAAATTAAATTAAAAAATTGATATAATAATAAAATTAATATTTGAATAAGATTTTTATTTTTTTTATAAAATATTATTTATAAATACCTTTGGAGAGCTTTTAAATTGTTCATATAGACCTGTAATTCTCGAATGGTGTGTTTAAAAAAGTACTGGAGTATTTTTGTATAGGTGATAAATTAATTAACTGTTAATCATTGTTTATATTATTATTTGAAAGAGAAGGTGATTTCTTAATCTATAAATGTGGTAAAAAAAAAATTAATATTATATTTTGTCTTTTTTAAGATATTTAAAGAAAGAAAAAAAAAAAAAGTTTAAAATATTATAAAATCTAGTATTGATTTTAGTTTTGTTGAAGTTTAGTTTTTAAAAATGAATACCTATATTATTATTTAATTTTATGATTGCTTTTTATTTTTATTGTCATTTTATTATTTAGGAGGTGTATATAGACACAGGTATAAATAAAGCACATTATAATAAATAATATTTTTTTTTTTTAATTTTTTATTTATTTTTATATTAATTTAAAATTTAAATTTAGTTGTTTATAATAAAATAATGTTTATGGTGGTGAAAAATTATTTTTAGAAAAAAAAAAAAATTAAAAATAAAAAAAATTAATTTTGAATTTTTTAAGTTTTTTTTTTTTTATTAAATTTATCATCACTTATTGAATGCACTATAATATAAATAACAACATACAATAATAGTAATAATAATAGATTATAAAGTATGCAATTACGATTTCAAAGATTTTTTATTATTCCTCAATGTTTGAAGGTCTTAGTGCACCATACCCTGCTCATGTAAATGATCATATATAAAGTATTCAATCAACTGGAATAATAGATTACTTTTTCAACAATCACCAAAGCAGCTCCATATTTCGAGAACTTAAAAATCTGTTTTTACAACTCATCTCAAAACATTGGATACTATTAATACTCAAAATCAACAGCATAGTTCAGAAGAGAGGAACCAAAATATTATAATTATGATAGAATTTTCAATTTCGTATTCATTTAAATATTCTTTATATATTCGGAATATATTGGGAAGCTTTTAGGTTTAAGAAGGAATCTTTAGGTTTTTTAGCTACTTTAAACATATCTTTTAAATTATATCTCGATTTTTTTGATCAGTTATAAGATGGTATATTTAAAACCAAATATTAGTAGATATTCATGGGATAAGAGGACTATTTCAGTTATTAAAGATTATTATAAATTACAATGTTAAAATTCAAATAATATTTTCATATACGCTAATTATTGGTTCATTTTCAGCCGCTTCAAATGTTTCTGGTATTTTAGAAGATACCATTGCAATTACCGAATTACTTAAACAATATAAAGCTCTTAGTTTCTGGGACTGTGCATGTGCTGCACCAAATATACAAATCGATATGAATAGGTTAAATGACAGTAGTTTTAAAAAACAATGTTCCTTATAGACCAGGTGCAATCAGTGATCTATATATAACATCAGATTCAACAACTTATTTTATATATTTTTTCAGTTTTTTTTCGGTTTAAAAAATATTTAATATCAATCACCATTTTTTATTGCAATCAATGTAAAATAAATGTAAATTTGGGGATATTTCCTCAATTTTTTTTTTTTTTAATAATTGTTTCATTTTTTTAAATTTAATTTTTTTCTTATAAAAATTAAAGCTTTTAATATTTTAAGTTTACAATAATATTTTTGTGTAACAAAACAAAATATAATATTCATTTTTTAAAAATTAGAACTTCAACTAACCCAAACCCTAAAGAAAAAGGTAATAATTATTTTTTACTTTTATTTTTCTTTTTTTTTTTTTAATTATTAATATATTCTTCAAAAATAACAAAATAGCATTAACTCTAGTATTGTTTTGCTTTTTATAAAGATATTATCAGTAACAATGATAATTTATTTTATGGAACTTTTTCTGAATATTATTTTTTTTATTTTTTTTATTACCACCTGTGGAAGTTTATCTTTATTGTATAACAATATTTTCTTTTTCTTCTTTAGTGTGCTTAATAAAAAGATTAAACCATTTTATAAATCAAGTTGAAAAGTGGAACCTGAATGTTTGTTTTAAAACAACTGCCTATTGTATTGATATTGCTCGAAAAAGCAGTCTCTATAATTGCCACCCAAGATAAATCTGCTTTCTTCCTCAATTCATTTTTAATTTTATATTAAAATTAAAAAAAAATTTATAATTTATAATATATAATAAAATATAAAACATCTTTTTATCAATCAAAAGAGAAAATAGTTTAATAATTTGAATCTAATTACCAAATGAAATAATTTTAAAAAAAAAATAATTAAAATAAATTTATTATTACCATATTTAAATATTAAATAAAATAATATTGATTATAATAAAAAATATATTAACAAGTAAATATAAAAGTTAATAGATTTTATTTTTATAAATCATCGAATGTTATTATTGTTTCCATTATTATTATTATTTTTTCCGGATTTCCACTATTAATATTTCTTTATAAAGAAAAAAGTTATTATTTAATGTGTAGTTATTAATAATTATAAAATAAATTTTTACAACCATTATTTTAAATTAATAAAATATATATTAATATGATGTTATAAATTTATTAATAGATATTAGAAATACAAATTTTTGTGGGTAAAAAAAAAAAAAAAAAATTTTTATAAAAAATCTATTTATTTGTGATGATAAAAAGTGATGTTTTTTTAAAGGATATATTTTATGTTAGTTCTTAATCTAAATTTTATTTTTAAAATTTTATATTATAATCATTTTTCAAAATAAAAATAAAAAAATCATTTAAATTAAAAAAATTAAAAAAAAAATTAAAAAAAAGATTAAAAGAGATAAAATTTCCTTTTTTTTTTTTTTCTTTGTTTAAATAAAAAATGAGGATTTGTATTTATTTATTAGTTTTTATAATTTCTTTAAATTTTGTTTTAGGAGATTATGAAAAATTAAGTCAGTGTGGTGTAAGTGTTAATTTATAAATTTTATAATTTTAAAATATAAATTATTAATCTTTTAAAATTTTGTATTGTATAGAAAGCATGGGCAGTTCCAAATGGAGGTAAATCTAGTGATGGTGGGCAATGTGGACTTCCTCCACCAGGTATTGGTACAGCTGCTTTAAATGTTTTTGGATTTAATGGTGGTAATAGATGCGGCGAATGTTATGAATTAACCGGACCTCTGGGCAGCACAGTTGTGATGGTCACAGATGGGTGCGATGCAGGTGATGCATGTAAACAAAATAAACTATTTAACTTTATTATTTCTGAAAAGGATTTTAATAAAATTGGAAATTCTACTGCCTATGGTAATATTTATTCATTAGGTTACCAAAGAGTATCCTGTGGTTTCCAAGGAAATATAAAAGCTACATTTGGTGGAGGCAAGAGTGGAGGCAAATTAGATTATTCCTATTATTTTACTGTAGCTTTTAGTAATTATAATATTGGGGTAAGAAAAAATCAATATTTTTTATTAAAAAATTATAATTTAAAATTAATTTTATTTTTTAAAATATAGATTAAACAAGTCCAATTAATGGGATTAAATATGCCCAGAGCAAGTATATTGAAACGTGATTTGGGCAAATTTAACTGGAATCAAGGTCAAGGTGGTAATAGTTACAAGTTACAATTCCCTGCTACTTTAATTGTAACAGCTAATGATGGCCAAGTTATATCATTTAAGTTTAATCGTCCACCGGCCGGAGTATCAATAGATACAAGAAAACAATTTGAAAATAAAGGAGATCCAAAGATTTCAAAGAGCACATGTTTAATGGCTATGGCACCAGAGTATGTTTATCAAGAATCATTAGAACTTGGATGGGCTTCATATTTCTCATGGAAATATACATATATCAATATCTCATCACATGAAACCGGTAAAAAGGTGGCACTTAAAAAAAATTGTATTCAAACTGAATTAGAGTCTTATGGAGGTTTACAATTTACAAGAGAAGGAGGCTTCCCAACAAAATACATTAAAGCAGTTTCATTTACCGTCAGAGCAGCACCACCAACTGAAAATCTACAAGTATATTTTGGTTTACTCGGTAGCTACACTGTACCAGGACCAATTGGGTGGGATTGGGAGGAAATAACCATCCCCATTTCAAAACTAAAACCAAATCCTATTGAATATAATCTTGTTTTTTATAATAATCAAGAAGAAAAGTCTGCACTATGGATAGATAATATAAAATTCACCTATTCAATCAGCACACCAAAACAAGCTATTGTCGTTTAAAAAAAAAAGGAAAAAAGAAAAGAAAAAAAAGAAATAATTTTATAATTTTTTTTAAAATAAAAAAAAAAAAAAAGTAAATTAATATTTATTTTTAACCATTATTTATATTACAATTTCCACTATAGATTTCTTTATTTTTATTGTTATTTCTATTTTGTTCCTATTATTTTTTTTTTTTTTTTTAAATTTTCTATAATTTTATTATTTTTATCTAAATTATATAATTTTATTTAAGTTGATAAACTGAATTTTGGGAAAGATTGGTCATATGTATTAATTAAAAAGTGGAATAAACCTGGAGGTAATCTAAGGGTTGGTGAGAAACAAGTTGTGACATTTGCGATTACCATCTTATTGTATTCACTTCTATCAACAACCTGTTTTGCGAAAAATAACATATGTTTTAAGAGGTTATAATGAGGTTTGGTTAGTTGAGCTAAAAGACCTTGAATTTCTCTAACTTTATCCTTTTCAGTATAACGACTGTTTGCTAAAATCTCTGTACCTTGTATACGTAGATGTTCAGGAAGAATGGACTCTGGTAACTCTCTTAGGAACATTTTTAATAAACCTGTTACTGCATGTGGATCTTTGTTAGTGTAATCGATAGATTCACCTTTTTGAATTTTTTCTTTCATTTCACTAATTTCTACTGATGAACCAGACATTCTAAGTATACCCTCTTCATCGACATTCTTTTCTAAAAACTTGAGCATCTTTGAAAGGAAATATGGTAACTCTGCTGTTGAACTCTCTCTAGTCATTAAATCATCTAGTCTAATACCTAAAACACCTGGGAATTTAATACCTCCACTTTCTTTTTTCCAATCCTTTAAGGAGTCAGATTTATTTGATGAGTCTAATGATTTCTGTTTTTGATGTTTCTTTTCGATGGCTACAATTGGTTTGCTAATTTCATAGGATTTCTTTTCATACCATGGTACTACGCTTTCTAATACACCATACCAATTTTCCATATTTTTAGAATTATCAAATGCTAATAAACACCAAATTGTATCTGGACTATAATTGTTGAGGTCTAGTTTTAAGTCTTTATCTTTATCTTTTTCTTTATCCTTATCTTTTTCTTTTTCTTTATCCTTTTCTTTATCTTTTGACTCTTTATCTTTTTCTTTTGAGTCCTTATCTTTTACTTCTTTATCTTTCTCTTTTATTTCTTTTTCCTTTTCTTTTGGCTCTTTAGTTGGGGCTATTGTTGAGTTTGCAATGGATGGATTACTTGTACTATTTACTAATGAACCTGGTGAAGTTGAAAGCATATTATTAACATTATTACTACTATCATTGCCATTATTGCTACTACCATTTGTACTTGGAGTTAATAGTGGTTGTTCTAAATTTTGTTGATCATGAATGGTTGTACCAATACAAATTAAATAAGTTTTTTTTTTGGAATCTTGAGTTGAACTAATTGAAAGATTTCTTTTATCATTGATATATATGACATCAATAGGATAAGATGATTTTTCATTTTTGAAAAAGAATAAAAAGTTATCTTTGAGAGTGGCAAAAGCACGTTTTTCTTGGCCTTTTTTCCAAGTTTTGCTTCCTATTTGGTAAGTGAGATTTGCTGCTAATGTTGGATTTAAAAGACTATCAAAGGATATTTTATTTCGGTAAACTACATTCGCTAATTTTTTGGCACAATCATCTTTGGTTATTAAATAATCCTCTAAACGTTTAATATTTGATTGTAGGGTTTCATTCTTTCTTCCTAGGTCATTTGCCATTTGATTGGTTCTCTTTAAAAGCATATTACTATGAGCGGAAATTCTAGCACCAGTTTTATTTTGAACCAAAAGCTCCATTGTCTTTGTTTTCATAGATAAACAAATTTCAAAGTATTTGAGTTGCTCTTGTAAAACCTCTTGAATAGTATACTTTAAATTATTTGCAACAGTTGAATTATGATCTATTATCGATTTTAACTTTTCAATTTTTTCATCTTTGCTGAGGCTATTAAATTCGCTGCTATTGGTGTTTCCATTACTATTATTGTTACTATCATCGATATTATTATCTATTATTATTGGGTTGCCTTCGTTATAGTGCAAAAATTCAAACTTTCTGACATCGATTTGATTTAAAATTAATTCATCAGATAACAACTTGTTGATTTCTTTTTCATTTTGTTCAGATTGTGAGAGGAAGTCTAATGAGAAAAACTCTGATCTATGATTGCTACTATGGGACTGATGATTAATATTGGCAGCAGCGACATCATTATTTGAAGATAACCATGGATGTCTAAGTAAATCGTGAACAGATGCTCTTTCGGATGGATCTTTCTTGAAGCATAACTCGAGGAATTGTGAAAGTTCAGTGGAGAATAAAGATTGTTCGTTTTCATCTAAGCAATCTGGAAATATGTTGGTTTTTGGGTTGATGGTTTCTACCAAAGCTTCGATAGGTTCCAAATGAGAGAATGGGGGGTGGCCAACAATTAATTCCATAATTAAACAACCAATGCTCCATGTATCCACTTTATGGTTAAATGATTTCATTTGTAGCACTTCTGGAGATGTCCAGTATGGGTGACCAATAATAGAGTATCGAATACTTGGGTCAATACCAACCCCACTACTTCTAATACCAATTGCAAAATCTGAAATTTTAACTTTACCTCCTTTGGCTAATAATACATTATTTGATTTTAAATTTCTATGAACTATTCCTTGAGAATGGATGTAACCTAATGAATCTAATATTTGTAAAGTATATTTAGCAATTAAACCCTCTTGGAATGACCCTGATCTACTGAATATATCTGCCAATGATCCATTTTCATAAAACTCTTGAACAATACCTAATCCTGTATTATCATTAATTATTCCAATATATTGTACAATACCAGAATGTTTTAAAGTTTTTAATAATTGAAATTCATTCTAAAATAAAACAAAAAATTTAAAAAAATTAATTAATAATTTTAATTAAAAAAAAAAAAAAAATTGAGAAAATATTTACCAGTAAAATGTTTTGATGAACCATATTTAATCTTTCTCTATCTATAACTTTAATGGCAACATATTCGCTGGAATCTGGTGGTACTGCTGAAAATGTATTACCACTATAACTTTGACCTATATGATGTAATAATTGCTAAATTTTTTATAATATATTATTAGTTGAGTTATTATTGTTATTATTATAATTATGAGCATTACTTACATATTTTCCTAAAGTTGGGGGTGCTTCGTCAATTCTAGAATTTGGAAGTATTCCTGATGAAAATGAAAGTGGTGATGGTTTATATGGTGATGATACAGTTGATGTTGATGCACTATTTGTTTGTTGCTGAATTGATTTACTTGGTGATGATTGGGTGGTTTTAGATAAAATCGAATTGTTACCAAGTGGTGGTCTTGATGCTGAATTTGGTGAAAGTGGGGGTTGTAACAATTGATCTGATGATAAATTAAAAACTTCATCAGTTGCAATATTCATTGCAAATTTTCTTCTACTTTTTTTTACTGATCTACTAGTGCCATCTTTAAATTTTGAAACTGCATTTACTACATCTGTCCCTAACTCATCCTCTAACTCGCCTCCACTTAGGCAACTATCATCTGGTCCTTCTATATCTTGTGATGTTTCCTCCATAACCATAATCTCATCAATTTGATTCATTTCTGGGTTTTCCATTTTTAAAAAAAAAAAAAACTGTTTTTATTTTTTCTTTTCTTTTCTTTTTCTTTTTTTTATCTTTTATTTATTTTTATTGCAATAGATATATTTTTTTTAAAAAAATTTTTATAAAAAAAAAAAATTATTATACAAAAAAAAAAAAAAAAAGAAAATAGTAAAAATACAAATTATTTAAATAATATTGATATTATTAAATAAAAAAATAAATAAATAAATAAATAAATAGATAGATAAATAAATAGATAAATTGAATGAATGAATGTTATAAAGAAAAAAAAAAAATTGTTTTATTTTTTTTTTTAAAATAAATTATAATAATAAAAAAATTAAAAAAAAAAAATTATATTTTTTTAATTTTTTTTTTTTAATTTTTTTTTAAAATTTTTAATTTGGTTTTATTTTAAAATAATTAAAAAATAGGAATAATTTATCCATTTTTTTTCAAAGTATAAAAATAAAATCTTGATTAATTGTTTCGAAAAAAAAAAATTTATTTATAAATATAAATATAAATATATATAAATAAAATAATAAATATAAATATAAAAATAAAATATAAAAATTATGACCATTATTATTGTTGTTTTTTTACCAACATTTTCATCGATGGCATAATTATTATAATAATAAAAGTGAAATAAATGGGTGAAAAAAATCTTTTTTTCAAAAAAAAAAAATGAAATTTTTTTTATCAACTTTTTTTTATTTTTTTTTTTTCAAAAATAAATATGTTTCATCAAAATGGATTATATTTTATTTTAGTTTTTTTCAGTTTGTTTTTTGCTTTTTTATTTTTTATTTTTTATTTTTTATTTTTTATTTTTTATTTTTTTATTTCTAGTTTTTATTTTTATTTTTGTATTTTTTTATTTCTAGTTTTTATTTTTATTTTTTTTGTTTTGTTATAAAACAAAAATGATTTAAAAAAATAAAAATAAAGTTGAAAAAACTAATAATAAATAGAAAAGAAAGAAAAAAAAATAAATAATTATAATAATAAAATAATTAAAATAATAAGATTATATTTATATTAACTATAGCAATTAATAAAATTAAAATACTATTTAAAGAGGTGTGAATTGAAGATACAGCATTATCTGGATAACCCAAACCACCTTCTTGATAATAGTCATCTATACCATCGTTATTTATATCACCATGATTTTTTCTTACTCTGTGTGGATTGTCATCATCACTTTCATTTTCACCTGAACCACCATCGGCAATACCGGTAAGAACACCATTTTTATTTGAAGTAATACCAATCGAAGAGAATATATTTGCAGTTATAGTGGAGCCAACACCGCTTCCGCCATTTGGTGAGGAGTTTTTGGTTGTGCTAGTGTCCACATCGGTAGGTGGTCTTTTGGGTGCGTCAGCAGAGAAACCCCATTTAATATTATCGATCCATAAAGTGATGGTTTGTGCTTGATTGTTGTAGAATGATAAAGAGTATTCTACTTCATCTGGTTGTAAATCTCTTTTAACTGAGAGTTCTACATTGGACCAATCTTCACTGAGGGTTTCATCTATGGTAAAGGTACCGACTCTACCGAAATAAACTTGAAGTGATGATGTTGGTGGTGATACTTTAATATCAAATGATAGTGTATCTAAATATTTAGTTTTGAAACCACCTTCTCTTGTGAATTGTAAACCACCTTGTCCATTTAATTCAATCTTTACTACTGATGTTCCCAAAACAGTATTATCATCTGTCTCTTGGGATGAGAGATTAAAGTTATTATATCTCCATGAGTTGTATCCTACCCAACCGAATGTCAAATAGTCTGTGTAAATATATTCTGGAATTAAACCCATGTCACATATTGAGTTCTCTAACTCTGGAGTTGGCTTTGGCATAAATTGTAATTTGGTGTCTTGGGGGATATTAGCAGGAGGTTTCTTTGGTATGGTATATTGTAAAATTTGACCACTTGTACTTGTAATTAATACTGTTGCAGGAAAATCAAACTTTACACCACCCGACTCTTGGTTCCATGTAAATTTACCTAATGTACGTCTTAAGTTACTATAGTTTGCCATACCACTACCCTTAATTCTAACCTGTTTAATCTAAAATTAATTTAAATAATTAATTAATACTAATTTTTTTTATAAATAAATTTCTTTGTGCTATTACTTACTGCAGTATTGAAATTATGAAATGCAATTGTTAAATAATATGAATAATCTAAAAGTCCTTTTGATAGACCACCGCCATATACCGCTTTGATATTACCAGCGAAATCACAAGATACTTCTTGATAACCTAATGAATAAATATTTGAATAGGATGATGAATTTCCAATCTTGTCAAAATCTTTATTTGAAATGATAAAATTAAATAAATCCTGTTGAACACATGCATCACCATCATTACAACTATCAGTTACCATTACAACCGTTTTCCCAATTGGTCCAGTTAACTGATAACATGCACCACATCTTGCACCATTTCCAAATGCATCAATTGATAACGATGCTGTTCCCATTCTAGTAGGTGGTGGTAGTTGACACATACCACCTTTTTCTGGTGGCTTTTCACTTGGTGCAGCTCTTGCTTGCTAATTAAAAATTTAACAATTAAAAATTTTAGTTAATAAATTGCAAAAATTAAAAAAAATTAGGGAATAAAAAAAGAAAAAAAATTGATTACTTACACCACATTCACCCATTTTTATATATGCAGCAAGTATTATACTATTAAATGATGATATTATTAATAGTAGTATTAATATATTTAGTCTCATTTTCTAAATTTGTAGATATATATTTTTTTTTTTTTTTTTCTAATTATAAAAAAAGAAAGGATAGAGTTTTCCTTTGAATAGTTTTATTATTAGTTTATTATATATTTTTTAATAAATAGGTTATAAATAAAATTGATTATTATAATGGTTATTTTATTAATATTATTTGATTTTTAAAAAAAAAAAAAAAAAGAAAATAAAAAAAAATTTTATTATTATTTTTATTATTATTATTTTTAAAATAAATAAATTAATTTTTAATCAACATCAATAATTTCCTTTTTTTTTAAAGTATTATATCAAAAAAGTAATATTTTTTAAAATAAAATATTACCTATTTTTAAATTAATTTTTTAACAATAATACAATCATTAACACTATAACCATAAAAGAATAAAAAATTTAAAAGATATTTTTAACATTTTATAAATTTCTATATTTAAATAATTATAATTTGTTTATTTTTTATTGAAAAAGGAAGATCCCACAATTTTTAATCGCAAAAAAATTTTATTATAATCAAATTAGTTATATTATTATTTTTTTTTTAAATTACGAATAGATTATATTAAAAAAAAACAATCATAAAAAATAGGGGGTACTTTTTTTTTTTTAAAATTATTTTAGTATACTACAGTAAATTGAATCATATTTAATTAAATTGTTATTTTTATGTGATACCAATTTATTATATATTAATATCTGTGTGGGCATAGTGATGTAAATGATTTTTTTTAAAACAAGGGGGGTTAATATTCTAATATGAGAATTTTATTTTTCATTTTACTAAAAAACATAAACAAGGAAACAAAAAAAAACAATATTATTATTTAAATAAAAATTGTTGGATTATACTTATAACAGCTTTATTAAATTTAGTATTTTAAATAGAGGATAGAGTTACTATTATTATTTTTTTTTTATAAATTATTGTTGTTTTTTATAATGTGTGTGTTGGGTTTGTGGTTATTATAAATTTTTTTTTTAATGACACAAAATAGTTAATATATGATATTGGCATTCGAATAAAATACTAAAATTGTTTTTTGATCTATTAAATGTAAAGAAGGTTTTTTTTTTTTATTAAATAGTTTTTAAAAATGATAAAAAATTTTTTATATAATGAAAAAAATTTAATTTTTTATAATAAAATATTTAATAAAAGTATTAATAAAAATGATGATGATACAAAAAGAGTGGAAGAAGAGTTGTTGTGTTCACTTTGACTAACTTCATTATCACCACTATTGTCAATTTCTGAGGAATAGCTTGAAATACCTGTTAATCCGCCAGTGGTACCAGAACCGCCAGTGGAGGCGCCAGTGGATGAACCTGTGGAAGGTTTTTTAGTTGGAGCACTTGGGTCTGGAACAACTGTGACCTGAATTGGTAATTTGTCTACACCATCTTTCAAAATCCATTTAATATTATCGATCCAATAGGTAACTTCTCCGTCAAAGTTGTTAAAGAATGTAATTGAGTTTTCTACTTCATTTGGATTTAAATTAGATATATCAACTGCATAAACTCCCCATTTGTCTGTGGCATTGGTGAAAGAATATTTAGAAACATTTCTAAAATAAAGACCTATTTGTGGTGTTGGTAAACTTGTTTTCATTGTGAACATTATTTGATCTATATCTTTAGTTTGGAAATTACCTTCTCTTGAGAATGTTAGACCACCATAGGATGAAAGGGTAGTTTTAATAATTGTTCCACTAGCACCAACTTCTTTACCGGCAGCATCTAAATCAGTTGAACTTGTGTCTAATTTTGAATAGCCCCATGATTGATAAGTTGCCCAACCATAACCAACTGAATCTTTATATAAATAGTCTGGTAATTGACCCATACCACATGTTTCATTTGAAAGATCGGAATTTAAAAATGCTTTAAATTGAACATTAATGTCAATATCTATACCTGCTTGTGGGGCTTTTGTAAATTCATATCTGACTATTTCACCAGTAACTGATTGCACAGCAAGAGTTGCTGGGAAATTAAGATCACCTATTTTGTTATCTTTGTTAAAAGAAAAAATATTGTTTGAACGAGTTAATGTTTGATAATCTCTCCAACCGCTTCCCTTAATACCAACTGATTTAATCTAAAAATAAAGTTTGTTAATATTAATTTATGATAGTTTTATAAACTATATATAAATTACTTACAGCAAGATTATAATTTGAAAAAACAACACCAAAATAATATCTATAGTCAGTTGCTGTACCACCACCTTTCTTAAAGTTGGCTTTAATATTTCCATCGAAATCGCAAGATACCTTTTGATAACCTAATGAATATATATTGCTTGAGGAGGAGTTATCGATTTTTCCATAGTCGGATTCTGAAAGAATAAAATTTATATAATCGTTTTGTTGACAAGCAGCACCTGCATCACATGTATCAAAAGCCATCACAATTGTACTTCCTGATGGACCAAAAACTTCATAACATTCACCACAACTTACACCTCCTTGATATCCTAATGTAGACAAACTAACTCTTCCAATTTTATCAGGTATTGGTAAACCGCAACTACCGGTATCTGATTGTGAATGAGTTATAACACCCCATCCTTCCTGAAAAATTGGAATTTATAATTAATAAATATCATTCCATAATATATTAAAATATAAATTTAATATAATTCTTTGTTTTATTACTTACAGCACAACCACTAATTTTAGGATTTGCAAAAGCTAAACTTGTAGTTAAAATAACTAATATAAATGATAATAATAATCTCATTTCTTAAGTTATAATAATATTGATAGTATTTTACAAAAATTTATAAAACTTTATATTTATAATAAAAAAATAATTACAAAAAAAAAACAAAAAATAAAAATTAATTAAATAAATAATTGAAATTTAAATTGATTAATAAAGTACTTTTATTGTATAGCTATTATTATTGTTATCTATAAAAAACAAAAAGATACAATGATTGTGATTGTTATAATTATTTGTACTATTTGTAAATAAATATAAAATATATAAGAAATTAAAATAATATTTGTAAAAAAAATAATAAAAAAAAAATTATTTATTTAAGGAGAGAATAAAAATAAATTAAATTTATAAATATATATTTTTAAAATAATTAATTTAGTTACCTACATAAATATACAGAATATATATATATGCTGTTTCACCCCACTACCACATCATTTTTATTAAATTTAATTTTTATAGAAATTAAAAAAAAATTAAAATAAATAAAATAAAAAATACCCACACTCTCACACAAAATGGTAATTACTGTGTATTAATATATAATTTCATAAATATATTTATTTAATTATTCACTTACCTAAAATAATTTTATCATTATAGGTGTTTGTGATATTAGCTCATCAAAAACACCACTACCCCCAAATTAAAAATTTAATATAATCACTTTTTTTTTTTTGAAAAATAAAAATTTAATATAATTAGAAGGATGGGGTCTGATATACTATATATAAAATAAAAAAGGAATTATAATGCTTAATGACGTTAAGTAAACATTATCACATACAATAATTTAACTTTCTACATAACACAAATTAAAACCATTAAAGTTTATTTACCAAATATTTATATAATTTATTTTTAATTTTTTTATAATAAAAATGATTAAATACAACATATAATTCAAAATAGGAATTAAAATTTATTTTATAATATCATCTTCTATAAAATTTATAATGATTGTATTTTGTACTTTCATAAAATACTATAATTTCCTCAATCAAACATATTCCAATATATTAACAGGTTTTCTAATATCTATGATCATCAATCTTAAATATATAATTTTATTAATACCAATTTGTAATTAATTTTTATATTCTTATTTTTATAATTAAACCTCATTTAAAATAAAACTTCTCTGCCAATGATTCTTTTTTTAAAAAGTTAATAATAAAAACTTTATCATTTTATTTTTTATTTATTTATTTTTTTAAAAATGATTAAATTGAAATTGAAATTGAAATTGAAATTGAAATTGAAATTGAAATTGAAAGGGTCTAGTTTTTAAAAAAAGTTTTTTTTTCTATTTTTTTATTATAAGCATCTCTTTCATTTTTTATTTCTTCTTCTGTTAAATTAACTGAAAAAATTGATGATTTTGAACCGATATTTTTTGTGCAATTAATATAACCATCAAATAAATCGGATGCTTTTAATGGAAACTTTAATTTAGTTACTATTGAAAGACTTAATTCGTAGATATAATCTTGGCAATTTGATGTTTTAATATTATACACAAATTTGTTTGCAATATCTGTTGCAGTAGAATCTATGATATCTTTAGTCCAACTTGTATCACCAATGTATATAAAGGAATATTGGAATTTAACAGTTTTAAATTTAAATTCTTTACTCTTGTAAATAACTTTATCATTATCATCAACATTAATATGGTATAAATCACCAGCTACCAATAAACCCCAATGACTCTTAATACTTGATAAAAACCCTCGAATAAATTTACAAACATACACTTTAGTTGTTAATGACATTATAAATAAAAGATAATAAACAATAAAATAAAATAGTTTTTCTAAACCTATATATAAAAAATAATTATCTAAAAAAAAAAATTTTAATTTTTAAATTTTTTTTTAAATTTTTATCATTTAAAAATACATTTTTATTTTTATTTTTTGGGAATGAGATTTTGTGGAGATCTTCTTTTATCAAAATCTTGATGACTTCTTTTTTTTTTTTTTTTTTTTTTTTTTTTGTAAAAAAACCAACAGTTTTTGTTTTTATTTCTATTTTTTTTTTTTAAAAAATTTTTTAAAAAAAACCCCCCTTTTTAATTTTAAAGGAATTATTAAAAAACTTTTTTTTTTTTTAAAAAACTCAATGGGTTAGTTTACAATTAAAAAAAAAAAGGGGGTTAAATTTCGCACAACCTAATACTTTTTTAAATTTTATAGGTCAAATACCACCCAAACTCCAAAATATAATTTCTAACACAATATTATGATGATAAATAAAAAACTTAAAGTTTCAATTTTTTTTTTTTATAATATTTTTTTTTAAAATTTTACTTTTTTTTTTTTTTTTTATTTTTTTTTAAAACTAATACTTTTTTTTTTTTAAACATATAATAATTTTAATAATAGAAAATATTTTTTCAACCTTAATAATAGAAAAATAATAACAAAATAAATAAATGACCATACATAATAATAAAAATAATTTTAGTAATAATAAAGACACAAATAATTTAGAATTTAAAAATGTAGAAGATGATCATGATATATATTATGTAGATAACATGTCAAAATCATCATTTCATAGAGCTTTGGTGGTTTCTTGTGTTTACTTTGATTTAAAAGTTGAAAACGATAAAGTTCTGTTTTGCAAATACATTTACGAACCTAAAGACACTCAAATTGTCTATCATGTTGGAAAATCCAAGTTATCTCTAAAAACAATAGAAAAAAGAGCTTCAACCATAATATCACAGTTTAAGTATAATATTCTAACAAATAACTGCCATACTTTTTGTCGTAAAGTAGCAAAAGCTATTGTAGAGGATAAAAAGAGTTTCAAAAAAAATGCTCCACCCCCTTGGGATATGACTAAGAGTTCTACATTAAGTCGTCGTCCACTCACGATGGATTATAATGAATTAATACCTAAAGTTAAAGAATTACAAATTAAATTGTTTAATTCTATAGAAAATATTCCTTTAGGGATTTTTATTTTCCAAGATGGAGATTTTGAAAATGTTCATAAAATTAAAAAAACTATCCCAGAAAAAAAAAATATAAATCCATCTTTTAATGATTTTTCAAAAAGTGTAAATAATAATAACAATAAAAACTTACCTATAACAAACAGCAAGGATCAATCTATAAATAACTCCAATGATATTAATAGTAAACAAACTATTAATAATAATAATAATTCCAATGAAAATAAAAATAAAAGCACCGTTAATAGTACCCCAAATAACATTATAAATAAAAATAATAATAATATCAACCCTCTTTTATTTAAAAGTAATATGGAACCAAATAAAAACATTCCTGATACAAGTTCCAAAAATAGTAATAATCAAATCTATCCCATTACAAATAGTGTCCACCCCAATAATTTTACAAATGACCCTAATTCCACCAATAATGTTCCTCATCCTTTAAGTAATAGTAATTATCTTCCCAATTCTAACAATAATACAAATGGTTATAATTATACATATGGTTATTCTCCTAATTATGTAAATTATCATAATTTTCAAAATAGGTATCCTGTAAATCCCTCAAATAATGAAATATATAATACTAATCAAAATATCCCTGCCTATAATCAACCTATTTATATGAACAATGTTCATAGTAGTAACACTAATCCCAATTTTTATAATAGTAACAATTGCTATACTCTCAGTAATCATAATAATAATTATAACAACAGTGGTCCAAAAACTCCATATTCCCCCAATGACAATTTAAATCATCCCCCAATGGTCTCACAATCTCAATCATATAGTGGTTACCACTCTTCTAATACCAATACCAATAAAGAAATTAAAAACAATAGTCCAAAAAAATATTGTTCTAAATGTCAAAATTTTTATAAATCAACAGGTTCCACTTCCCATTCCCAAATTTGTTCAGGAAATAAAAATGAAAAAAATAAACCAAATAATTTTTATATCCCCAAAACCAACAATGTACATCCTCCACCCCCAATAGCAAATGAAAATATAATGCAATACTCAATTACTGAAAACGCAAATCCTTTAGCCTCTAGCTCTGGGGTTGTAACTACTACTACTACTACAGTATTTTCAAGATTGTTTTGACCGGGTATTTATCATATCATACCAAAATTTTTAATTCTTGTGTAAATCCTGTATTTTTAATTTTTATTTTATCAATAAAAGGCAAATATATATAAAAAATAACGTGTTTTTTAAAAATACTGTCTTTTTATTTTTTATATTTTTTTTTATATTTTTTTTTATTTTTTTTTTATTTTCCTTATAAAAAAAAGTAGGTCAAATCTTTACTGAAAGATAATTAATTTTTATCTTTTTTTTTATTACTTTTCTTATTTTTTCGTAATTTAAAATTTTATGAAGATGGATGTAACAATTAAAAAAAAGAAGAATTGGATTCAGGTGATCAACAATTAAAGGTATTTTGATAAATTATGCATTTAATGATCCGACTAGTCTGTACTAGCGCATATTATTTTTGTCCAATCACACAGGTATCTTATAATAATATGAACAATAACCACTACACCTAAACAAAAACCGTGTAAATAAACTAAAATGTATATATATATATAAATAAATAAATAAATAAAGATAAGAAATATTTGTATAAAAAATAATATCACCTTTTGTTAAATTTATACACTGATTGTATTTGTACTCATAATTCACTAAAATATTCTAATTTCCTCAATAAAAAATGGAATAAATATTATTCAAAGGTTTTCTTATATAAAACTTCTCTCCTATGATTCTTTTTTTAAAAAAGTTAATAATCATATTATTTTTTATTTATTTTTTTTTAAAATGAATAAATTGAAATTGAAATTGAAATTGAAATTGAAATTGGAGTTGAAGTTGAAATTGAAATCGAGTTTTAAAAAATGTTTTTTTTTCTATTTTTTTACTATATAAGCATCTCTTTCATTTTTTATTTCTTCTTCTGTTAAATTAACTGAAAAAATTGATGATTTTGAACCCATTGCTGTTGTGCAATTAATATAACCATCAAATAAATCGGATGCTTTCAATGGAAACTTAAATTTTGGAACTATTAATTTACTTAATTCGTAAATAAAATTTTGGCAATTTGATGTTTTAATATTATACACAAATTTGTTTGCAATATCTCTGGCAGTATCATCTATGATTTCTAAAGAAAATTTTGTTTTACCAATGTATATAAAGGTATATGTGTATTCAAGAGAGTAAAATTTAAATTCTTTACTCTTGTAAATAACATTATTATTATCATCAACATTAATATGGAAAAGTTGACCGGCTACCAATAAACCCCAATGACTCTTAATACTTGTTGAAAAATTTGAATCGTGCGGAATAAATTTACAAACATACACTTTGGTTTTTAATGACATTATAAATAAAAAAGAAAAATAGTAAATAAAAGATATTGAAATAATGATTTTGATCAAAAAAAAAAAAAATTTTAAACTTTTTATTTCAAAACTAAGTGTGAGAAAATATTCAGAATTTACGTTTTTTTTTATTTTTTTTTTATTTCAAAATTTGCGGAAACTTGATTTTTAAAAAACCAGATATTATATTATAACAATATCAATTTTTTTTTAACTTTTTATCAATTTTTTTTTAATTTTTTTTCTAATTTTTTTTTTTAAAAAATACCACCCACACAATCTTTTATCCTATTATTATTATAAAAAGATTATTTTTAAATCTAATAGGTTAATTTTAGCTTTATAAATTTTCAACATTAAAAAAGTGTATTTTTAGTTTTTTTTTTTTCGGATTATATTTTGAACAACCCAATCCAAATTCCGAACCTCCAAAAGTTTAAAGTATTGTGTAAGTAAAAATAAAAACTTAAGGTTTTTTTTATAATATTTTTTTTTCACAATATTTTTTTTTTTCTTTTATTTTTTTAAAATTTGCACACTTTTTTTTTTTTTTTTTTTTCCCATTATAATTTACTTTTTTTTTTTATAAACATATAATAATTTTAATAATAGAAAACATTTTCAACCTTAATCATAGTAAAATTAAAACAAAATAAATGACCATAAATAATAATAACGATAATATTAATAATAATATTAATAGTATTAATTTAGGCACAAATAATTCAAAAATTCCAAATGTTGAGGATGATCACGATATTTATTTTGTGGATCACGATTCAAGAACATCATTTCATAGAGGCTTAGTCATTTCCTGTGTTTTTATTGATTTAAGAATAGATCCAAAAAAAAATTGTGTTTTATATTGCAAAAAACTATATTCTCCCAGAGAAAATCAAAATGTCTATCATGTAGGAAAAACTAAGTTATCTCTAAACACAATAGAAAAAAGAGCTTCATTCATAATATCAGAGTTTAGGGATAAATATAATATGGTAACAAATAACTGCTATACTTTTTGTTATGAAGTAGCAATAGATATTGTTGATGATAAAAAGAAATTTAAAAAAAATGTTCCAGTCACCTGGGATATTTTTAAAAGTTCTAAAACTATTGGTAGTTCAATCCTGATGGATTTTAAAGAATTAGACACAAAAATTTCTGAAATAAAAATAAAAATGGGTGATTCTATAAAAAATTTTCCTTTTGGGGATTTTGTTTTTCAAGAAGGAGGATTTGTGCATGTCAATAAGTACATAACACCAAATAATATAGATCAATCTGACTATTCCAAAATAAATAATAACAATAAAAATAATAATAATAATAATTTAACTATTATAAATAACAAAGATCAATCTAAAAATGATAATAATAACTCTAATGGTGATAATAATGATAGCAGCATTAAAAATAAAAGTAAACATAAAAAGAATACTCTTATATATAAGGAAAAAGATAAAAACGTCCCTGATGCAAGTTCCAAATATAATAATAGTCAAATCTGTAGCAATTTAAGTGGTTTTAGTGGTCCTAATAATTACAACATCAATACTTCATATAACTATGTTAATAATCAAATTAATAATACTCCCATGAATTTCACTTATTATCCTAATAGCAACAATAGCAATACTCCAAACAATTTTTCAAAAAGTCCTACTATTAATAATCCAGGTAATTTTACAAATATTAAAGGTTGTCCCATGAACTATTCAAATGGCGCTGGTAATCACAATATGAATAGTAATAATCCTTCTATGAATAGCAATAATCCAATTAATTGTTCAAATAGTTCAACTAGTCCTAGTAATCCACTAAATTTAACAAATAATATATATTTGCCTCCCATGAATTATTCAAATGGCGCTGGCATTCCTAATTGTAACAATAGCAATACTCCTAATAATATTATGAATGGTTTTAGTAATGCCAATAGTGGTAATATAAATTCGTCAAATAATTTGAATAATAGTAATAATCATGTTGATCCTAATAGTTATCATTTAAACCATAACTATGCTATTATGCAAAATGGTGTTCCAAATAATCCTAATATCCATTCTAATAATCATACAAATAGTAATATTGGTAATAATAACAACAGTGGTTTAAAAACTTCATCCTCCCCCAGTGGCCATTCAAATCATCCCCCAACAGGCTCACCACCTCAACCAAATAGTGGTTATCACTCTCCAAATGCCAATACTAATATAAAAGTTAAAAACGATAATGAAAAAATAAAATGTCCAAAATGCAACACATTTTATAGTCCAACAGGTTCGTCTCATTCCCAGTATTGCTCAACTAAAGCAGAACTAGAAAAAAATAGTAACTTTTATAATAAAAATAATAAACCCTTCAAATAAACAAAAGCCGCGTAAATAAAAAACCTTAAATAAAAATAAATAAAATATTATTTTTAAAATTATTTTTCTTTTTTTAAAATTTTATTTTCTTTTTTTTTATTCTCTTGCTTTACATTTACGACATTCGCATTTGAAACCATATGTAACTAAATCTTCTTGACGAATATCATATGGAAGTTCTTCATCGATATAAGAGTGATATAATTCTTCACCAGCTTCGATACGACGGAGTGCCATAATGTGAGCACGATTATCGCTATTTGAAAAAGCAACATTAATATTTGGTTCACATGAATGATTAACCATAGCTTGAAGACCAAATATACCATAACCGTCAAATGATGGGAAAACTTCCTCTACCTCCTCCTCTTCATTTTCATCCATTGCAGAGTCACCATGGTCGTGATGGTGACCATGTGATTCATGGCCACTACCGTCCATCATATGACCACTATGATCGTGATCACAACCTTCCTCGTCACATTCTTCCTCTTGATAACCTAGATATTTACGGAATTCTTCGACAGTTGAGTGCATAATTGATTTAATGTGATCTTTGTGATTTTGTGGTATGTTTGGAATTGTATCCAAGTTTCTTCTAAATGTTTCTAATGGATTAAAGAAACCAATCGAATTATCGTTCATTTCCAAAAGACCTAAAAGATGTGAATAAAACTCCATACTGAGAATAGTGTTGATAAAAACTGCATTGTTGGTTCTTGGGTTATTTTGTAAAAGTGGTAATAAAGCTTTACGGAGTAATTCTAATGATTCCTGTGACCATTTTCTAGCCTCTTCATTTGTAAAATTATCGTCGATTCTAACATCCCACCAATCTCTATGTTGATATTCTTGGAAGAACTCTTTACAAATTCTTTCTGCCAATGGTATATTTTGTTGTGATTCATTTGTTGAAGAGGAGGAGGTGGTAGTGGTAGTAGTTGTGGTATTTGAAGAGGTTGTAGTATTACTATTTTCGACCATTGGTTGATCATTACCCACTTTACAAATTAAATATGCAATGGCTTGAGCTGCTAAAAGGAATAATTCGTTTGTGTCGATCGAGTGTTTCTTGAATAAATACATTGGGTTATTTTCTGGAGTTTGTTCACCAACACATAAAACTTGATGATGATTATAGAATGCCTCATTTCTACATTCTTCTGAGCAATATTTTTCACCACATTTTGCAAAGCAACTGAAAACTTTGGTTTGGAATGTATATGGTGGGAAATCGAACTCTGGTAACTCTGATTGCTCTCTGATACCAAATACTTTTCTATAGTGTAACATTTGTTTATTTAATGACCCTAAAAATCTAAAACAATTACCACAAGTCCATGCTGTTGCTCTATTGTAAACATGTTGAACACTGAATAAAGGTCTTTCTGAAAAGACTACATCACCTTTTTCGAATGTTTTTTCGGCGAATAACCCTCTGCCTTTGATTTCGCTTATATATCTTCTACTGACAACACCTGGTATTTGAAAATTTAAATTCATTCTTTTTTTTTAAATTTCTTTTTTTTATTATTTGGGTTATTTAAAAAATGATTTATAAACAAAAGAGAAATATAAATTATACAAAAAAAAAAAAAAAAAAAACGATTAAAAAATTTTATTTTATTTTTTTATTTTTTTTTTTATTTTTTTTTATTTTTTTTATTTTTTTTTATTTTCCATTAACTCAAGCTTAAATTAACCAAAAAAATAACATTCATTGCCTATTTTTTATCTTTTTTTTAAATTTATTAATATTCATAATAATCACTTTAAAAAGTAAAATATCTTCATTTGTTAATTTTTAATAAATAAAAAAAACAGTCATATTAATATAATTGGATTTATATTTCTTGAACTAATATTTTTATTTTTTTTATTTTTTTTATTTTTTTCTCTTTTTATAATAATTTTTTTCTGTTCATTCTTTTAATAGTAATAATAATAATATTAAAAATATCACTGTTATTAATGGCATAATAACACAATTCTATTTTTAGGTTTTTTTTTTTTTAATTTAAATTTAAAAATTAATTTTTTTTTTTATTTTTTTAAATTTTTAAATTTGATATTTAAGTTTTTTTTTTTTGTTGTTTTATATATCTAATATACAATTAATCGTTTTTTATAAATTTATATAATATTATTTTTTATTATACAAATATATATATATAATTATCAATATTAATTTTTAAATATTATCTATTAAGAGAATTTAAACTTTATTCAAATCAAAAAAAACTATCTAGCTAGCTCAAAAACAAGATATATACATATTTTTCTTTCAAATTATTTATACACATAAAACACATCCAAATATACTACAACACACACACTCACCAAACCCACTCCAACACACTCACACTTAAACACCCAACAACACAGTAATAATATTTTTCCAATATACAAAACAATACACATATTAATATTTGATTTCATTCTACAAAGTTTAAGTTAGAAAAAAATAACCAAATAATTATTTTAAAATTATTAATTTTTTTATCTTAATTATATCATTAAATAATTATTTTTATAACATCGTACCAATTTTTTTATTTTTTTATTTATTTTTTTTTTTTTGTGCTAATTTAATTTTTTTTAATAAATATTTTTAAAATTGTTTTTTTTAATTTAAATTTTTATTAGTGTTTATTTATTACTATTATTATTTAATCATCAATTATAAATAATATAAAAAAAAAACTATTGTTTTTAAAATCCAATAATTCTCAACTTTGTAAATAAAATTTTAAATATCTAAATTTTTTATTTTCGTTTTGTAAATATAATATATAAATAATAATAATGACAGAATATAAATTAGTTATTGTCGGTGGAGGTGGTGTTGGTAAATCAGCACTTACTATTCAATTAATTCAAGTAAGTATTTTTTAAAATAGTTTAAAATAAAAAACAGTGCTCTAATATTATTTTATTTATCTTTAAAGAATCATTTTATTGACGAGTATGATCCAACAATTGAAGATTCATATAGAAAACAAGTAACTATTGATGAAGAAACTTGTTTATTGGATATTTTAGATACAGCTGGTCAAGAAGAGTAAATAATTTAATTAAAAAAAAAGGGTTTATAAAAAAAAAAGTTATTAATACATATATTAAAATTATTTAGATATTCAGCAATGAGAGATCAATATATGCGTACTGGTCAAGGTTTCCTTTGTGTTTATTCAATTACATCAAGATCATCATATGACGAAATTGCTTCATTTAGAGAACAAATTCTTAGAGTCAAAGATAAAGATAGAGTTCCTTTAATTTTAGTTGGTAACAAATGTGATTTGGATCATGAAAGACAAGTCTCTGTAAATGAAGGCCAAGAATTAGCAAAATCTTTCAACTGTCCATTCATGGAAACCTCTGCCAAGAGTAGAATCAATGTAGAAGAATCATTTTATTCTTTAGTCCGTGAAATTAGAAAAGATCTTAAAGGTGATCAAGTTGATAAAACCAAAAAGAAAAAGAAATCATGTAATATTTTATAAACAAATTTTGAAAAGAATTTATTTCTTTTTTATAATTTAAATTTCACAACCACTCAAATAAATAAAATAAAATAAAAAAAAAAAAAATAAAAAAAAAAAATGGTCGCTGTCGTTTTTTTTTTTTAGTTGTAATAAAAAATAAAATAAAAAAAAAAAAATTTTTACTGGTGAATCTTCAAAGCAATAGTTTTGTAGTTTATTTTGCTTACGTATAAAGATATTTTAAATAAAAATTATAAAAATTATATTTTGTTTAAATAAAAAAAAAAATAAAAAATATCTTTTTTTTTTTTTATGATTTTTTTTTGATTGTAAGAAAAAAAAAAAATTTTTTATTTTTTTTTATTTTTTTTCTTTTTTTTTTTAAAATTATCATTATTAAATGGACCAATAATTAATTTAAGATGCCTTTTGGTTGTTGTTTGAATTCTCTAATTACTTTTTTTTTTTTAAAATCTTTTATTTTTTTATTTTATTTTAACTCTAAAATTTTTATATAATACAACCACGTCTAAATATTTTTCCTATGTTTATTGGTTTACAGATATTTAAAAAATAAAATAAAATATAAAACAATATCAAACAAATAAATAAAATATAAAAACAACAAAAAATTAAAAAAACAAATAATATAAATAAAATACAAGTAAATAGAGATTAATATATATAGAAATTTTATAAAGTCAAAATGACTCACTTGGTGGATAACTTAACAAATAATTTCAAAGTTTACTATAAAAATATCAGAAAAAAAAGAAACACCCGAAATGAAATTGTAGAAGACCAATTAATAGAAAAGGTTGTTGCTATAGAAAAGACATATGATAGTTGTTGCAGAGAGGCTCAATGGTTTGATGAGCTACGAAAACTAGTCGAAGTTGATCAAAAATATTCAAAAGTAAATGAGATCTTTAGAAATATAAACGCAGAAGAGGGTAGCTCCATCACCCAAGATAACCGATTAACTGAAATATATGCAAATAATACAGAAGATACCAATATTTTTATTGAAGAAAATGATAGAGTTTTAATATCATGTGTTTTATCAAAACTTTCATATCTTAACGATAAAGAAACTATTTTGCAATACCTACATTCTCAAATATCAGTTACTCATGTATTAGAAAAAATTCGTAAACTATATTATTTTAAACCAATTCATACAAGAACCAAGGTATTAATAGCATTTGATGATCAAAACAACTGTTACTGTTCGTTTAATGGCACTGTAAACTCATCCGATTTAATTCTAGATATCTCATGTGGGTTCCTTGAAAAGATAAAGTTCAATTGTGATGATGGTGTTAAGCACAGTCTCTATAGTGACTGCGATCGTTTCGAATGGGCTGTTTCTATTGTTGATGATCTTATTTCTCTTACTAAAAAGCTGGGTAAAAAAAGTTTAATTTTCTCTGGCCATTCTATGGGCGCTACATTTGCTACATTTGCTTGCTTTGAAGCTATCAAATTAAAGAACAAATTGGATTCTACCAATACCCTGGAATTAAAGTGCTATTCATTTGGTTCACCATCGTTTCTTCATTCATCTTGTAAATTATTTTTAGATAGTAATCCAGTTTATAATCAAGTTTTCGAAAACTATCTAAACGAATACGATATTGTTCCAATGATGAGCCACTATCCTGTTATTTTTATAGACTTTATGTATATGGGTTTAATGGTATCCACACTTCTTTTTACAATTGCTTATCATCTAACTACGGACATTGTTCAATCAATAGAAAAAATAATTTATAACCTGGTATATCCATTAATATTGTTAACAACTCCATTATTGTTAACTAAATTAATGTATATAATATATCAAAACTTTTTTTCAATGTAAGTTTTATATATCATTAAAAGATTTAATTATACTCATATTAATAATATTTTTTGCTTGTGTATAGTGGTCTTTTATCAAAATATACAAGAGTTTTCAACCATAAAAGTGGAAGATTCATATTTTATGAAAGTTTAGATACAGATGCCGAATTTAATTTTAGATCAATTATAAATCATGTTAAAAAGCTTTATAATTATAAAAAGTTTTTAATGATTGATGATCACAAGATGGATAGATACCTCAAACATTTATATTCTTGCTATCAAAATAGTAATTCCAAAGGTAGTAATCCATTGAATCTTTTAAAGTCTGAAGATATTGTATATTTAAACCATAGCCATACCGAAACAATAGAAACATCAAAAAATATCAATTCGAAAAAAAAAATATTAAAAAAAGGTTTAACAATATTACTTTCTTGTCATTTAATTTGGTTAGTAATTTCAATACCAATTTTTTATAATTCATTATATTATTTGTGTTTTACAAAATAAAAAATAAATAAATAAATAATAAATATAAAAAAGATATAATACAATTAATTTTTTTTATTATTTTTTTTAATATTACAAAATTTTGGTGGTTATGAATCGGATGAAATAATGTTAGATGAATTCATCGATATTTCTTTCTTCTGATTCTTATGTCTTGGGTCATAACAATATAATAAAGTGATAGTTGGAATAATTTCTGTAATAATTAAACATATAAAGCTAAATGTCATATTATTTAAATTACCTGTCACAAGAATTAAAATAAAAATACAGTGAAGAATAAAACCTACTGAGCAGATTGATGTTTGAAGGAAAATTCTATTGTATGTACTAGAGTTTGCCGTTTGATTTAAAGATTTTTTAGTTTTTCTAACAATGAGGTAAAGTGATACACCCAAATAAATAAATGCAATACCCAGTATTACTGAAATTACACATTGAACAACAGCATAGGTTATTGAAATGGCTTTTTGAGGAATAGAGCTTGACATTGGTATAATAATTCTTGAACCACAATCGTTGGTCGGAATATTTTGGGTTTTCTTGAATACTAATGCACATGCAATGAATAGCAGATAAATTACAAAGTTTATTAAAAAAACCATTTTGAAAATTCTTTTTGATTGGTCAGTTGTTCTATATGAAAGGTATACAAGGACATAGAACAAAACTACAACAATTGTAAAGGTGGTAAAGTAAAGGAATGTTGGTAAAATTACGAGGATATAGTCACCGACTGGATTGAATGCTAAATGCCCATTTCCCAATACATAGAAATAAATTGATCTCATTATTATGAATACTGTAACAATAATGATTAATAAATGGACAAGTTGAAACTTAAATTGACCGGTACTTCTTTGTTTGTTAAAAATGTACCCAATTTGAAAGAAACCCCAAAAAGAAACCAATAAATAAAAAGTTGCTAATGTAAATATCAAACCTTTTGTTGATTGATTAAATACTTCTCTTTTTTGATTCTCCCAATTGTCTCGTCTGATAATTGCAAATAATTCAAGTTCATTCTTTTCCAAAATAAAGTCTTGTGTAAAGTTTGAACATAGAATTATTGTATTTGGGCTATTGGATTTAATTTCAAAAATATCTGCATTCAATGGATATGGTTTTTTTTCATCATTTGTAGACGCAAAGTCATAAGTTGGATATCTTGAGGTTGTAGTAGAGTTGACATTGAAGCACACTGTTACTGATTTAATATTTGAAAACTGGGCTTTAATATTTATACCATCTTCAAGTAAAATACCCACAATTGCATCTTTTTTATTTAAAACCCCATACCTATCGATTACATAATAATTTACAAAATTTGATGATAAGCTTTCTGGAACAGCTGCCATGAAATTTTCTTTACTAAGTTGAGATATTAAAAGAGATGGGCAACCTCCAATAATGGAATCTTGTGTAAAATGCAATTGTCCATAATCAAAAGTGAATGTGCTTGATTCTCCAAAACATGGCTTTGTTTGACCTAAAAGAGGGACTGATGATTTAAAGCATGTTGGACCACCTTCACCTGAGCAACTGCATGCGACTGAATTTAAGTTTGATTGGATTCTTTCTAATCTACAGAATGATTCTGAACGTAAGAGATCTGCAATTTGAGTATCAACAACATTCATTATGTTGTAGTAAAAGCTTTGGTAGCTAAATGCCTTTTTCTTTTCAGTGATTAGTTTAAATTTATTATTTTGTACCCAAGTGAGTTTATCTAAATAAACACCTTTAATCCATTGGCTAGATGTCCATTCAAACATATTGGTCCATTTGTTCTGTGATTGATAACAATTGGTACAAAGATCTTCGGTCATCTGATTAAATCTGAAGTTAATTGGTAAATTATCGGAATTTAAATCTAAAGTTTTACAACCTTTTGTAGAGGTACATTGCTCTTTATTGACCGATGGCACCCACCATTTACCAGATGCAGATTCACATGATGACTTGTTAAGATATTTTGGAACATGTTCAAAACACCCCATTGGTGAATCGTTTTCGTTTTCAAAATTGCAACTTGGATAAAAACCACTTCTATATTCAAAATGACCTCTAACACATTTACCTAACCCCGATGAATATTTAGCTGTATTTTCTTGTAAAAAAAAATATAAATCCGAACAGACTCCACCTTGGGACAAACATTGTTGTTCAGTACTGCAGCTTGTTGGTGCCAATGAGCAAAAGTTTAGAGTATTTGAAGTTGGTCCTGAACATTCTCCAACTGATTTTATTGAGCAATCTTCCCAGATATATCCATTTGATGAGCATTGACTTGGTATTTGAGTATTATAAAAACACATATCATTTATCCATTGAGAATTAGCATGAGATGAGCATTGCTGTGGAGTTAATGCACCTGTAATTAAACATCCACTATTGTCTCCACATGTATAACCGCAATAACCAGTACACATTCCCACACCCTCACATTCTTCTTTAGTAAGACCTAGTGCATAATCACCACTTGGTAACAAACAGCTTGAGCTTATTTCACAACTAGATTGATCGTTAAGACTTGATACATGGTGACAATATGTTTCATTACTTGTACAATGACCACAAAATGATTGTAGAGTATCACAATTTTGATTACATTCACTACCTTCGTAATCTACTGAACTGCATCCATCAACAAAAACTGGACAAAAACCAATTGATTGACAAGTACTTATATCCAACCATGGGTATTCCCTAAAATTTGTATATACTTGATCAAAACATATATCGTGTTCCAACTCGCAAGATTGATCTAAACATTTGGCAGGTGGGTAACAACGGTTATTTGGAATATTGGGGGAGGTATAGGTAATCATCTGGCGAATAGGGTAGCTCGATTCACTAATACAATCATCTAGTTGATTTGCCTGGTATTGTTGTTCAATAATAGAAGTTGTGATATTTGATGGAGATACTTGAGCCAAACCATAAAGTGTACTTGGTGGTATATTTTCCAAAACACATTTAATATAGTTTTTATCGAGAATTTCGAAATCTATTAAACAATTTCTCGTAAATAGGTCACATTTCTTGTTACTAAATCCAGAGCAGTCGCTATCGGTGTTGCAATATTTAAAGGTATTGTTTTTACAATCTCTTAGAACTTGGGTAACAGATGATTTTAAATTTTGGGTCGCAAAATTTGAAACTGAGCAAGAGCCTACTGAATTAATTGAATTATAAAAATCTGAAAGAACTGACTGTGTACATTCAAAACTTGAGCATTGGTCTTTAATTAGATCATTATGGGTGCCTATAAAATCAGTTTGTGTGATTTCTACTGTTTTGGGGTTGCAGCATTCGAAAAAGGAAAGACTAGCATTACAACATGGATCATTTGCAAACTGTATACTATTTGAACTATAAGGACAAAATATAGATGATACATTGGCCTTTATCGTTTGTGTATCTAAGAGTGATTTAGCTTCATTTAAACAAGCAATCCAATCATCTCTAAATGTTAAAGAATCCAGTTTGTATCTCCAATTATTTAATTCGTTTAGATCTGAAACACTAAATAGTAATTCTATTTATAAATTAGAAACAAAATATTTATAAAAATAAAAAAATAAAAAAAAATTACCTTCAGTTTTTTCCACTGCATTTAAAATATTTTGAAATTTATTGTAATCACACTCTAATTCTCTTTTTTTAAATTCATGAATTCCTTTAAGTGGCTATATCAATGAATTAGTATTTAGGAAAATATTTTTTAAGGACAGTTAAAAAAAAAATTTACTTACTTGACCTTTTGTATTAAATAGAGTGGAAATAAATTCAATTTTTGAATTTGAAATTGTATCGAAAGTTTGGTATATATAAGGATTTGTTGAATCTGATTGAAGAGATAATAAAAATGACGCTTGATACGATTTTGGTTTGAATGGATTGTCTAAGAATGAATTTTCAAAATGAATATTTTGAAAAGTTTTATCACTTGAAAAGTATGTGGATACAGGCCATAATGCATTACCATCGAATAAAGGGTATTGGACAGAAAAAGGAAAGCAAAGATACCATGAGGGGCAGTTATAGTTTGTACCATCTGGTAATATTAATCTCGAACTTTTTGTTAAAGCATAGGCACCAGCATTTTCGGGAAGTGCTGAAATATTTACAGGGTATCGATAGCCTTGCGATGTAACTGTAAAAGTGTAATTACTTGGGTATGAACAATATATCCCAATGAAAAGAGTGGTTGGGTGTGTGCTATTAATCGGTTCGGCAAATATTAATAAATAGTCATCATATTCTTCCGCAGATTGCCATTTACCTGGATTGGAAATAACTGGGTATGGTAAAGATGGATCATCTGAAATGAAAAGATTAATATCTTGATATAAAGCAGGTGCGCTGATAAAATAATAATCTGGTTTTGTGACTTGGAAGGTATAATAGTTGTAAGCTGGGCCCTGAATTTGATCTGTGACAGCTTGGCCATCGATAACACACTTGGCATCATTTAAAATAGTTTGACAACTTGATTCAATAGGAGCATTTGGTGTTTCATTTGAATAAATTTGAATTGAGAAGGTTACATTGGTTCCAATTGGTTCAATTGAAATAAAATAAGTGTCTTTAGTCCATGAGAGAGTATTTGTATATCCTTGGTTATCAGTTGGGCATAAATTCATTATATTATAAGTTTGTACATGTTCATAAGGAAGATTTCTTTGAAGATTTGTAATTGGAGTAGCACCCACTGAACCTCTAAAAAACCCAACAATCGGATAAATAACCACCAATAAACTTTCGCAAACTTCTGCATTTGCTTTATACCTGAAATTTTTGGTTTCTCCATTTAAAATATTTACAAAAAGTTGCTGTCCTTGTTCTATTTTTTCCCAGTTTCCAAAACACATTGGGGTTTCACCGTCACTTGCAAACTCATCACAGACTTTTGAGCCACATTCAGGACTAAGCTTTTTTGGACACTCTTCACCGGTATAATCACATGAACAGTCTATTCCACTGGGTGTAATGATGGTATTATCAACTGGACATTCATAGTTTGGACATGCTAAAGTATCGTATCTAACAACCTCCTCATCTAATTCTACATTTAAATAGGCATAGTTTAAATTAATTCCTAATAAATTTGAACTTTTTTCAATTATATCACTTGATAATACATTAATACTGCAAAAACCTTTATCTTAAACACAAATAAATAAAAATTAATATTTTTTTTTTTAAAAATCTTTGTTTTATAATTAAATACTTACTGACTATATATAATAAAAGTATTAAATAATGGGATATTTTTATAATCTTTGTTCCCATTTAACTATTGTACATGAACAAAATATATTTGTTTTGGAGCTCCAGCAATAAAATATGACAAACATGAACAAAATTAAATTTAAAAAAACAAAATTAAATTTAAAAAAAAAATTAAAAAGATATTTTTTTTAAAATTTTTTTTCTAAAAATATGGTGTTAATAAATATACATCAACTATAATCAAAAAAAAGAATCATTGAAAACATATTAAGCATCCTTTTATACTATCTATATTTAAAAATTTGGGTGATAAGATTCATTTTTTTTATATTTATTTGAGGATATTTGTTTTCAAGTGATCGGTGTCTGAATGCGTTTGTTTTAAAAAAAAAACTGAAAAAAAAAAAAAAGAAAAAAAAGAAAAAAAATCTTTTTTTCGAAATTTTTTTTTTTAAAAAATTGGTAATTACACTCAATCCTTTCATAATTCGAAATGTATAAATGCTGGTAGGCTAGGCTTGCCTGATTTTGTAATTTATAAAATCACACAATCCATTTAAAAATTTATAAAACAGAGTGTGGTGGGGGTAAAATATTTGTAGATTTAAATAATTTATATAAAAGGAATTATAATAATAGATTTCAAGAAACAATTTTTACAATTGTAATTATGATAAAATAAAACAAGCAGATTAGATAAGAGATATTATTTAATATGTAATTTATAAAGAAACAACCCACTCGTATATACATTTTATATATATATTTGGTTACCTATTTATAAACACCCTTTATTTTATTTTATTTTTTTTTTATCTATTAAATAAACAACATAGTATTAATCACTTATGGTTATCTTCATTATTTTTTTATTTTTTTTATTTTGAAAGAATTTTTTTATATCTTAAAATATTTAAAATTATTCCTTTTAGTAATAATTGTGGTGGTAGTGATAATATTAACAATAAAATCTATTTTTTTTTTTTTTCAGATGTGTGGTGTTAGTGTATCTATAAAATGAGTGAGTGTGTGTGTATGTTTTTGGTTGGATGCTCTTAAGAAAGATAAAAAAGTGTTAATTAAAATAAACATTACCCAATTTAATTAGTATAAATTCAATTCATTTTTCTTTCATTTTTTACCTCTAATTATAGTTTAATATAATAATAAAAAGTAGTAACATTAATTAAGAATAGTAAAATATTTTTTTGGTAATTATTTAATATATTTATCATCACAAATCCTTTCATTCTCTCAATCAACCAAAAATTTTTAATTTTTTTTTTTTTAAATTGGGATATTTTCACCTCGAAAAAATATCCATAAGAAAAGGACCTTTTAATAAATTGGTTGATTCAGTTATGAATAAATTATATTTGGATAAATAAATAATAAACAAATCAAAACTTGAAAAAGTTTAATTAACAAATGTTTTGAGAGAGTAAGTGTGTGTGTGTGTGTGGTGTGTGTTTTGGAAACCCCACCCATAATTAATAAAATTTTTTTTTTTTTTTTTTTTATTATTTTTATTATTTTTTTTTTTTTTTAATTTTAATTATTTTAATTAAATTTTTTTTTTTTAAATTTTATTTATTTTTATCTTTATTAAAAAAGAAAAAAAAAAAAAAAAAAAAAAATTAATATATAAATATTTTAACTCAAACAACCTCAACAACAATCAGCTAAAATAATAATAAATTCTCTTTCAAACTCATTAGTAATAAAAATAAAACTATAAATACACGATATATTAGTAGATATATTTGTTACCTAGTCATCATAACTGCATGATTGTTGTGAGCAAAATAAAATAATACTTATAGGGTTAAATAATAAAATAACAATAGCTCACAATCATATTTCAACCATAATCCAAATATAGTAATAAACATATAGAGCATGTTTTAATGAATTTAGATTATAGGTCCATATATAATTAATTAGTAAGTTTTTTCATAAAAAATAAAAAATAAAAAAATTCACATAGAAACTTTTACCAAAAACAGATAAAGTAAAAAAAAAATCACATTTATATAAAACCTATCATTTTTAATCAAATTTCACCAAAGACTTAATAGTATTTTTAAAATAGTAATAAATATAAAATTTAAAAACTTTCTCTTTTTTTATGTTTTTTTATATCTTTTTTATTTCTTTTTTTTTTGTTTTTTTTTAGTTCAAATTTTAAATTTTATAAATGTGGTAAATAAATTTCGTTTTTTTAAATCTTCATTTTATAATAATAATATTATGTAATAAATATATTAGAAACCATAAATAAAGAAAGAATGGAAGAAAAAAAAAAAAAAGATGATTTTAGTTTTTAAAGACTTTGTTTTTTTTTTAAAATAGTATAAATTATATAGGTGTGTTTTGGTGTGGTGTGTGTGTATCTATGTAAAAAATTTTAAATTTTTTCATGAAATTTTTTTTAATCGAAAAAATCAAGTGTTGTTTTGTTTATTTCTTCCTCTCTTTTTTAATTTTTTAATTATAAAAAAAACCTTAGATAATTTAAACTATTAGATTTAAAATAACAAAAAAAAGAAAGAAACCATTTTCAAATCATATTTTCTTTTAAAATAAAATTAATAAAGTTTTGTTTCATTAATGTTGATCCAAGCACCCTCAACACATTATTAGTTGTAAAGATTGGTTTTTTTTTTTAATTTCATTTTAATAAATGTCCGATATTATGAAATAGATTGGCGAATTGGGATACTCCCAACCCCAAAACAATTCATATATTTCATACCCCAAAAAAAAAAAAAAAAAAAAAAACAATTTTATTATAATTTTTAAAATATTAAAAATTTGACAACAAATTTAATAGATCGATATAAATGAATATTCTATATATATAGAATTTAAAAAACAATAAAAAAAAATTTGTAAAATTAATTATTTATAATAAATTATAAAACATTAATAATAAATTATTAAATAAAAACTTTTTTTTTTTTTCTATTTTTTTTTTTCTTTTTTTTATTCTTGTTCATATATATACAACCTCAAGCTACATTTAAATGTACTTTTGATAAAAAAACTTTATATCAAACAAAAATTAATAGTAAAAAAGTTTAATCGTAATAGAAAAAAAAAATAAAACATTTCATAATCTAAAAATAAATTCCTCACACAATAATATCTCTCCGCAATATAAAATTCTCCCATCTTATTTTTCATATCTCTCATTTATGAAAGAATATTCATATCCATATTTTAGTACAAATTCATTATTGTTTTTTTCATAAAAAGTCCAATTGCCAACAAAAAAATAATCAAAAAATAATCAAAATCATATTTTAATATTTCCTAAATTGGAAACTAAACCATTTATTCACTATTTTGTATTGTTCATTTTACCATTTCATAAATGACATTATTGAAATATCAATAATTGATATGAAGATTTTTTTTTTTTTTTTTTTTTTTTTTTTCAAAAAAAGTCGTAACGATCCAGAGCCTATTTTGATTTTTTTTATTAATAATTAATTTTTAATTTTATTTTAATTTTTTTTATTTTTTGGGCCAAAAATATTTTTTTTTTTTTTTTTATTGTTATTTAATTTTTAATTTTTTTTTTTTTTTTTATTATTTTAAATTTATTTTTTTTAATTTTTCATTTTAAATATTTATATTTGTTTTACTTTTACACACCCACACCCCCTTTTCTTTCTCCACACACAATTATTAATTTAGCAGTTTTAGAAATTAGGAGAAGAATCATAATAATAATAATAATAATAATAAAAATAATAATAATATAATAATATAATATAATAATAGGAAAGTGTGTTTTTAAAAAGTAATATTTGATTTAATATTTTAATTTAATATTTTAATTAATATTCTTGGATATATTAAAAAATAGACATAAAAAGACAAGAAAAACCATTTTAAAATCCAATTTATTTTTTTTTGTTTTTTTTTTTTTTTTTTTTTAATTTTCATCGTTTTTAAATCATATAATTATTCATTTTTTAATCCATTACTAACTTTACATTTTTATAATTTTAGTAACTCATCAACAAACAAGTTTTAAATATAGTAGAAGATACAAATCATCAAGATTGTCAATTTTTTTCCCTCTTAATTAAGAATTTTTAAATTTAAAAAAAATTGGTTATCAATGATATAAATTTTAACAATAACAATAAAATTGATAATAATAACAATAACAATCATAATAATAATATAAATAGTAAATAATATAAAACTATAGTTTTTTATTTCAAATTTAAATATTTTTTTGGTCAAATAATTTAAAAAAAATTTAAAAAAATTTAAAAAAATTTATTTTATTTTTTAATTTTTTTTTTTTAATTTTTTTTTCAGTTTCATTAATTTTTCGTATGATTAAAAATAATTTAATAACTTAATAACAACTTAATAAGAGTAATCTATAATATTTATTTATTTATTTTTTAAAAAAATTAATTTGTATAAAATCAAAGAAGATCAAATAAAACCCAGTTTTGGTTTTTATATATAAAATTATTAAACTTTAATATATAAATTAAAAAAAATGACAAATAAGGTAATTTTTGATAGGTCCATAGAAAAAAATTTTTAATCACAATATTAATACTTTTTTTTAATTTTTTTTTTTATCTTTTTAGAAATCAAAGAATAGTGGTTCGAAAAAGAAAGAGGAAGAAGTAAATAAAACTACCACAAACACATCAATAAATAATAATAGTAAACCGAAAGGTAGTGAGGATTCTTCACCCTTGCAAACTTCAACAACTTCATTGATGACAAGATCAAGAGCCGCATCAAAACCACCAGCTTCAAATATCACAACCACCCCATCAAAATCGAACAAGAGAGGGTCTTTAACTCCTACAACCACAACCACCACTACACCCAATAAAATTAATAATACTATCAGTAAAAGACCAGCAACAAGAAGAAATTCGATAGTTAATGACGAGGAAGAGGAGGATGATGGTGGAGAGGTTTTAAACGATGTTAATTTTGAAAATAGTGATAATGAAGAGCTAACAAAACGAAAATCAAATACACCAAATAAAAAAACCCCTGTAAATAGTAAATCAAATAACGTATCATCTGGAGAGGAAGAAGATGGATTAGAAGAAGACGATGTTGAAGAAGAGGAAGAAAGAGAGGAAGAAGTTTTAAATAATGTTCGTGTTGAATTGAATAGTGATGAAGATGAATACTTTAAAAATAGTGCATCTGAAGAAGAGAATGGATCAAAGAGTAATGGTAAAAGATCGACCTCGACATCAAGAACTAGACTTAGCGTATCACAACAAGGATCAAGAAGAAAAAGTGCAGGTAAAAAAGTTGAAGAATCATCTGATGAAGAATCTGATCAAGAGGTTTTAAATTCGACATCCCCAAGAAGAGGTTCAAGACATATTAATTCAACCACCGCAAAGAAACCTGCAGGTAAAAAATCAACACCCAATATTAATAGTGTTAATGGAAAACGAAAGAGAGCACCATTGGTTTCAAATACTGCATTTAATTCTGAATCTGAATCTGATCAATCAGGTCAGGATTCTGAAATTGATGAACATAGCAGCTCAGAAGAGGAGGTAGAGAAACCAGTATCCAAGATTAGAACAAGAGGATTGGCCGCTACAAGTAAAAATAAGATTTCAAAACCATTTGCAAAGAAAAAGGCAACTAGTAAAGCTACATCTTCAAAATCATCGAAATCCAGTAAATCTTCAAAATCACCATCTAAAAAGAAAGATTCATCATCTGAAGAAGATTCTGAAGATGAAAATAATTATGAAAGCGACGCAGATGAGGAATCTGAAGTAAACGATACTGAAGAGTCTCAAGATTCTGATGTCTCAATGGAAGATAGTGAAGATGATTTAATTGAATTAGAGGACGAAGAAGATTTAAAGATTCAAAGAGTTTTGGTTACAAAGTTGTTTAAAAAGAAATTTATAAATTTACCATATTTACTTGCAGATTATATAAAACTAAATAATAAAGAGAATAATAATATAACGAATAAACCTGGTACAGATACACCCGAGATTAAAGAAGAAAAGAAGGAGAAATCAGTTGCCTCCACAGGGCAAGATGTAAAGAAGGATGAAGAAATGAAAGATGTTGTTACAGAAAATAAAACAGCTACTACCGAAACCAAGGATACCGAAATGAAAGACATTGATATTGAAAAGATGGATGTCGAAACTGAAAAACCAACTACAAGTGCTTCTGAAGAAACCACACCATCAACTGCAGCATCAGCCTCCTCAACCACTACAACAACAACCACTACGCCAGCTAAGGAAGAAGAGATTAGATTTTTAGTATTGTATAAAAATAAATCATACAGACACGCAAGATGGGTTCCAGAAAAATCAGTCGAAAAAGAAAAAGATAGTCCAACACTTGTAAAACTATTAAAGAATATTAAAAATCAGCCACCACCTCCAATAAACGATGAATCTGAAGCAAATCCATTTTATTATTTTGCACCAGAATGTATACAGATCGATAAGATTTTAACAAAGAGAGAGATTAGAAGCTCAAGTAAAAGCAATAATAAGAAATCCAATACTTTTTATTTGGTCAAATGGAAATCATTACCACACGAAAAGAGTACATGGGAGCCATCCGATAGTTTAACATCCGAGGATGATCAAGAGGCAATCAAAGTTTTTAATCAAACCCAGGCCATCATCGAACAAGGTAAAAAGCATGTCAGTAGACCAACTAAACTTCCAGTATTCAATAGCGAATTGGTACCAAAGTTCAAAGGTGAATTGTCATTAAAAGATTTCCAAGTTGAAGGTTTCCTTTGGCTTACATATTGTTGGTACCAAGGTAGATCCTCATTGTTAGCTGATGAAATGGGTCTAGGTAAAACAATTCAAACCATTGCTTTTATTCAATACCTAAGTCAAAAAGTTGGAATTAAAGGACCATTCCTCATTGTTGCTCCATTATCCACTCTTGGTAATTGGCATAAAGAATTTTTAAAATGGACCGATATGAAAACTTTGGTATATTATGGTTCACAAGAAACCCGTTCATTTATTTCAAAATACGAATTTAAAGCTGGTAAAGACAATTATTTATTTGAGGTTTTACTCACCACCTACGAAACTATTATGTCTGATCACAGTGTTTTCGTTAGAGTACCATGGAGAGCCTTAGTTTTAGATGAAGGTCACAGAATTAAAAATGAAAAATCAAAAGTTTTAAGCAAATTAAAATCAATTAAAGTAGGTTTTTTTTTTCAATCATTGACATTTTTAATTACAATTTTATTAATTATAAATTATTTTTAGACTGAACATTCAGTAATTTTAACAGGTACACCATTGCAAAACGATATGAAAGAGTTATGGACAATGTTAAACTTTTTAGACCCAGAAAAATTTGATAATTGTAACGATTTCTTAAATGAATATTCCGATCTAAAAGAAGAGTCCCAAGTCTCCAAACTTCATCAATTACTTACCCCATATTTATTAAGAAGAATGAAAGAAAATGTCGAATTATCTATTCCAATTAAAGAAGAAACTGTAATTCAAGTAGAGCTTTCATCAACTCAAAAAACTTATTATAGAGCTATTTTAGAAAGAAATAGAGAATTCCTTGCCAGAGGTATCAGACACAAATCAAATTTACCAAAGCTATCAAATATCATGATTCAAATTAGAAAAGTTTGTAATCATCCATTTTTAATTCCGGGTGCTGAAGAGTCAATTGTTAAACAAGAAAAGATCTCTGGTGAAGATGAATTGGGTGAACTTTTAGTACGTTCAAGTAGTAAGTTGGTATTGGTCGATAAATTATTGCAAAGATTAAAGGCTGAAGGCCATCAAGTTTTAATTTTCAGTCAAATGGTAGAGTCTTTGAATATATTGGAGGATTATCTTCAATATAGAGAATACACTTACGAACGTTTGGATGGTTCAATTAAATCTGAGGTTCGTCAAGCCTCAATCGATCGTTTCCAAGATAAGGAGGCTAATCGTTTTGTTTTCCTTTTATCAACTCGTGCTGGTGGTGTCGGTATTAATCTTACTACTGCTGATACAGTCATCCTTTTTGATTCAGATTGGAATCCACAATCCGATTTACAAGCACAAGCAAGATGTCACAGAATTGGTCAAACTAATAATGTAAAAGTATATCGTTTAATTACTAGAAATACTTATGAAGAATACCTATTTGAATGCGCAACAAAGAAACTTTTATTAGATCATATCGTTCTTAGCACAAATAATAAGAAGGGTGCTCCAGGACAACAACCACCAGGTGAATTAGAAATTGCAGCTGCCAATCCATTTAAAGTCCAAGAAAATATTGATGATCCAAACTCACCAAGTCAAATTAGTCAAATGTTAAAATATGGTGCTGCTTATCTTTTTGCAGAATCTACCAACGAAGCCAACGAACAAGATAAAATTATGATCAATGAAGATATTGACAAAATTCTCGAACGTTCAACTACCATCAGCTTTGACTCAAAGAACAGTAAGCCAAATAGTCTTTCAGGTTTCTCAAAAGCCACATTTGCATCAAGCGAAACTGATATGAATGTAGACATGAATGATGAAAACTTTTGGGAAAAAGTTTTACCAGATTATAAGACTGTTAAACAACTTGAAGAGAAATTGGGTAATGGATCAGCTTTAGCAACAGAAGAATCTCGTGCCTCGTTTGTTCAAGATATATTAGATTTGGCTCAATCCAAAAAAGATGATATTGCTGATAGTGTTTCAATAGAGTTTATTGGTGATCTTGTTAAACTCATTATGAGAGTAGAATTCAATACCAAATTTACAATCGAAGAACGTGAAAAACTTCAACAAACCAAATTACTTTTAGAGAAGCCAAGAACAAGAAAACGTGTTATTCCTGAAGTTATCCAAACCCACCTCAGCGAACCTAAATCTAACAAAAAGAAGGGTAATAGCAATAATCTCATTTTGCCAGATTCAGATAGTAGCAGTGATGGTGGTAGTGACACCGATTTTGTTCTCCCAGATGATGGTGATTCATATGAATCAGATGATCACGTTGAAACCCTTGATGGCGGCCATACAAATTCTTTAAGAGAATCAAAGAGAAAAGAAAAGAAAGCTCTTAGCAAGTCCCTCAATTCTGGTTCTTCTGCACTCAACGGTGTTTCACCACAATTACTTTTATCTGCTTCTTGGAACAAATCCCAAAAAGATAAATTTAAACAAACTCTACTCAAAGTTGGCTACCATCGTTGGAAGAAAATTCAATCTGAACTCGCCCAACAGGGAGTCAATAAAACTGCAGCAGAAATTCAATCAGTTTCGGAATCATTCTTACAAATTGGTCTTGTACAACAAGGCTCACTTATTAAAGATTTCTATGAAATTTTTTTAGATGACACTTCAACTTATAATTATTATAAAATGGGTTTCGATACAGAAAACAAAATTATCTATAACACTGATCCAACTCCTTCAAACATCAAAAGTTATGAAGTTAAAAAATCATTTAACACAAGCGGTTTATTCTGTTCCCAAGTTATTAATGTTAAATGGTCGGTATTAGATAAAAATAAAGGTAATAGTACAACCACTTCAACCACTACAACTACTTCAACCACAACTTCAACAAATAATCCAATAAAATCTGAGGATTCAATTGATAACAAATCTGCCACTAGTGAGGATATTAAGGAAATGAAAGATAAACCATCAGATAATAAATCATTAGAAAATAAACCATCAGAAGATAAACCATCAGATAATAAATCATTAGAAGATAAATCAGAAGATAAAATGGCAGAAGATAAACCAACTGAAAAGAATGTAGATGAAAATAAAGAAAAAGTCGATGAAACAAAGAAACAAGAACAAGACAAAGAAAAGCTTTGTGAAGATAAACCAGTTGAAGATAAATCTAATAAAGATGATAAACCAGCCGAAGAAAAACTTGATCAAGAAGACAAACCAGTTGAGGACAAACCAATCGAAAATAAGGAAGATAAAGCAGAAGATAAGGTCGAAGATAAGTCATCTGTTACTGCTGCTGAAGATAAACCACTTGATGTTAAAGAACAAGAAGCAGCCGAAGAAAAACAATCATCTAGCCAAGATAAATTAAATGAAAAATCTAATGAAGATTCAAAACCAAGTGATAAATCTGTTACAACTAATGAAGATCAAAAGCCAGAAGAATCAAAGGATAAAATGGATGTTGATTCAAATGATGCTAATAAATTATCAACTGAACCAATAAAATCTGAAACCCCAGCTGTACCACCACCAAAACCAATTTCAATTAAAAATCCATGTAAAACTCCAGCTTATTATTTGGTCATAACATTAGATAATTTCCAAAATTCACAAATTGTTCGTACCTATCCATTGGGAGAAGCTGAAAGTGGTTCAATCGAAATAACATTACCAGGTTTTGCAAATTTATATGAATTTAGAGTGATGTTTTCAAACCCATCAACAAATACATTCCGTTTTGTTAGCGAACCATTCAAATTTACTGTTGGCAGCAATACAATTTGGCAAAACAATGATTTCCCATCTTTCTCAACAAGAATTCAAACTGTTATTACTCGTCTTATTCAGTTAAGAGCAATTAAACAATTGGTTAATAAATATGGTAAACAGTTATTAACTCTTAATATTCCTTACATTTCCAGAGGACCAATTCCAACTTGGAGTTCTGATAATGACAAGAGTTTATTAGTGGGTGTTTACAAACATGGCTATGGTAAATACACAGAAATTTTTGCTGATCCAGAATTGGACCTTATGACAAATGTAAAGAGATCTCAACTACAACAACAACCATTTAACTCCCCACCAGATCCATCAAATCCAAACAATAATATTGATATTGACGAGTTGGGAGATACTCCAAATTCAACCAATATTGCTTCTCCAAGTGGCGGTACAAATACTGCCTCTGCTGCAGAAAAAATCCCATCAGCTGAGTCACTTAGAAGAAGAATTCAAAAAGTCACAGACCAAATATTAAAGAAAGAACATAATGATAAACTATTAAAGCAACACTTGGCTCAACAAAAGCAACAACAAATTCAACAACAAATCCAAAGAGAAAAGGACCAAAAAGAAAGAGAGCACAGAGAAAAAGAGCAAAGAGAAAGGGAGCACAAGGAAAGAGAACAACAAATTAAAGGTGGTTATCAATCTACAAAATCAAAATATAGCAATTATTATGAAGATAATTACCAACCATCAACTCATTATCGTAAACCAGAATATAGCGGTGGTGATATTTCATCTGATGAAGATGACGAAGAATATAATAAATTAAAGAAAATGAAACTTAATCACAGTAATGGTGGTAATAATGGCTCATTCTTTAAAGGCAATAATGGAAGTTTCTTTGATAAACCACAAGCTCCACAACAATTACCATCACTCGGTAAAATAATTCAAAAGACTAGTTCAAAATCAAATACATCACAACAACAATCACCATTGTCTTCTCCAAATCAATATCAAACAAACAAACAATCATCTTTATTATCAACACCACAATCACCAAGTAAACCAACCAAATCTTATCAAAACTTTAATATTAGACTTTTATGGGAAAATAGAATTTATCCAATTTCAATTCCAACATTTACCACACTTGATTCATTAAAGAGATTATTTATTGCAAAAGCATGTATTCAACAAATTGTAGGTGCTGCAGGCGAGGATCAAAACCATATCTTAAGATTCTATTATAATGACCAACCAATTCAGAATGGAATGAAGCTTCTTGACTTTGGCATTAAAGATAATGATCGTATAAGTGTTTTCTGGGAATCTAAATGGAAAACTATTCAAGTTAAAGGCTTTGAATACGAAAGTGTTTTAATGAATGTTCAAGATGATACTCTTTTAGAAGATATTGTCAAGGCATATTTCATCAATTCACAACCACCATACGATATAAAGAATCTTAGAATCGAATATAATAATCAAACATTATCATTAAGTTCCGATGTTGGTACAAGTAAGATCAAGACCGAATCTTTCCTTTTTATTGTTCCATCACAAGATATCATTCGTGTATTTGTAAATCCATCATGGGGTGCAGAGAAAGAAACATATGCTCTTCATAAAATGACAACATTATTATCAAAACTAATGGATTCATTCTTAAAGAAACACTCTTTACTTCCAAAACAAATAGATTTCTTTATTCCACGTCTTGGTACCTCTCTCAAAGGTGATAAAACTCCTTCGCAATTATTAATCGAAGATGAAACCGAAATCACTGCTATTTTATTATTAGTCCGTGTTGATGTTGTTTTCAGTGGAACTACTGTACCTTATTTCCTTAGTACCACAACATCATTCGAATCATTATTCCAACGTTTCTGTGAAAAACTAAATATTGATAGAAGAACAACAGTTTTCTCTTACGAAAATAGACGTCTTTTACCCGATGAAACTCCAGAAGGTATTCATATGAAACCACATGTTACAATTGAAGTTAAAACCAATCAACCAATTCAATCACCAACTAATCGTTTTAATCAATTACCTCCACCATCACCACAACGTCAACATCAATCATCACCACAACCACCACAAACACAGCCACAACCCTCACAACATCGTTCACAATCATCTCAACAATCTCAGCATAGACAACATCGTCAATCACCATCACAACAACCACCATCTCCACATCGTCAACAATCTCAACAACATCATCAACAACCACAAACACAACAATCAATTATCGAGGTTGAAGTTAAATTAGTTGGCCAAGATGCTGGTAGTTTTATTAAAATGCATACTTTAAATCCTTTCCCACTTCACATTTTAATGGAAAAATTCTGTCAAGAACATAACCTTATTAGAAACAATACTCTTTTCACTTATAAGGGACAACAGTTAAATCCAAATTCAACATTAGTGGATATCAATTTACAAGATGGGGATATTATTGAATGTCATTTATTAAAACATTAAATTGTAAATAATAATTAACAAAAATTAGTGAAAATATTAAAAAAAAAAAAAAACTAAATAAAAATAATTATATACATATATATTAAATATATATTATTAAAAAAAATACTAAAATCTTTACCCAAGTTAATTAATGTTTATTATTTTTTTATTATTTATCATTATCTTTTATATCTGTAAAAAATTTATAATTTTTCTTTTTCTTTTTTTTTTTTTTTATTTTTTTTAATTTTTTTTTTTTAATCAAAATTAGTGAAAATAAAGGTCTTTAAACATGTAAATATTCTATTTGTTTATTTCCTTATTTAAAAGAAAATTTTTTTTATCATTAAAAAAAAAAAAAAAAAAATTTTTTTACAAAATATATTAATATTATGTTATTATTATTATTTTTTGTATAATAATAGTAATAGATTAAGATAAATCTTAATAGCATATTTAGATATGATGGGAAACAAAAAAAAAAAATAATAAATATTGCAAGAAATATATAAAAAATAATTCTACACCCCATTTACTTGTATGACAAGATTTATAATAATTAATTGTTTTTAATAATAATTATTAAACAACACAATGAAATTTATATTCACACATCAAATATTATAATAGGTTTTTATCATAATATTTAATAATTATTGATGATTAAGATTTTAATTTTATTTTTTTATTTAAAATTCAAAAAAAAAACACATATAAATAATTTTTTTTTATTTCAATTATACTCAAAACAAACAAGTTCAAAAAAAGCTTTATAAAAAAAAAGAAATTTAAAAATGACAATTACAAGTATGTTATAAAATATCTCAGAAAAATATTTAAATATTAATATTAACATTTAAAATTTCATATACAGAATCTTTCGAATCATTATCTCTTTCATCAACATCAAACTTTATTAATTTAAATGAAAATGTTAAAAACATTGATGAAATAAATTTAAAAGAAAAACAAGCAAATAACAAAACCTCTGTAATGAGCGGTGAAGAATACAGGAGAAGTATTGGTTTGCAAGTGTGTTCAATTCTTTAAATTAAAATAATCGAATATTTAAAAATAAAATCATTGTTATATTAGATTTACAAAAATTAATTCTACTTTTATTTTTTTATTTCCAATAACTTATTAATTAGGAGGAAAAATAATTTTACTAATAAAATAAAATTATTTAATTTTTTTATTTATTTATTTATTTTGGCGCTAGATTGTTTTATTACTTATACCTAATGAAACTAAACTAAAGTCTTGAATAATTTTTGTTGGAAGCTTTTTGTTCCTATATGACATTAAAGAATTCAAGAATTTCTCTTTTTGATCTTTTGTGATATGATTTGAGGGGAATCCATCTACAGATAAAATTTTTAAAGCTGATTGTCTAAATAGGTCGGGATATGATGATGTTAAAGAAGCTATCACTTCTGCTACAAACTGAATTTGGCTTCTTGGAGCACCCCCACCAGCAGAGAATAAAATTTGTCTTATTAAAATATCGCCGTGGATTGTAAACCAATTATTTACTTCGGCAAAGAAAGATTGCCAATTTGTTTCGTCCTTCATTTCCTTAGTTTTGGTAATAGTGATCGATAAAAAAGACAAACAAGCACGCGCAGTAATCTTATCATTTATATTTGTAATATTTGCTAAAACTATAGAGAATAAGTATGAAATAACTCCGCTAGGTATTGAGTTTACATTATATTTAATATATTGACCTATTAATGAAAAGAATTCTTTGGTGATATCTGGGTAAATTGATAAATTGAAATTTAAAAATTCATTTAAATTTGTTGACGCTAAAAATGATTGATTTTGTTTTTGTTGTTGATTAATAGTTTCGAAATCTGCATGTTTTTTCGGGTTATCTTGTTTTGATGGGTTCTTCCAAATATCTACCATTTTATTTGTAATTAATGCTAATGATTCGACCAAAAATCCAAAAGGTTGTTGATTAGGTAAACTGGCAATCGACATCGATAGTGAATTTAAAACAATGCTAAGTGGAGTATGATTAAATGCCATTGTTAATTGTCTATTAATTTCTGCAATATTTGAATTATATGAAATTAAAATTGCTTTCTTATAAAAAATACTAATTGCCTCTATAATTGAATTATCTAATTTTTTTAGCCCTAATAAATCACCATTTATCGATATGATATGATTTATAATTTGATATACTGGCCTATTTATATCATCTTTTTCTTTTTGCTCTTCATCGGTAAGAGTTTGCTCACCTCCATCGTCATAAACTTTGCAAAAATCTGTAAGTAAATTTAATGATGATAACAATAACTGAGTATTTGGTTTTTCATTTGGTTGTTCTTGTTGAGATAGTATTGAATAATGTTTCATATATAATATAAATGGTGATAATAACTGTGTTGAATAGTTTAAAATATCTGATTTTGTTGGAAGAACCGAAACTATATATAATAATGCTTCAATAATAAAAAAATTTGATGGTTCATCGATGATAACTTTATTCTAAAAAAAAAAATAAAAAAATTAATAATTATAAAAATAAAAAATACAATTTAAAATTATAACAATACATACATTTTTTAATAATACTGGTGAGCATAACTCTATTAATTGATTGATTCCAGTTGATAATAATTGAGCACATTTGGGATTTTTTGAAATTGATAAAAACGATTGACTTGCAACAGACTTTAAATCTGGATTTGTAAAAGCAGGAAAGAAGTCACGCACAATCTTTTCTAAAAATTGAGTACTTTTATCCATTAGATTTGAATATTTACCAGCTAAAATCATTGTACTTTTAATTAGGGGAGTTGATTGAATTGGCAATTGACCGAGTAAAGAAAATAGTTGGGGTATAAAATCGACATTTTCAGTGATGCCTTCAGAAAGACAACCCAATAAATAAACGGTAGATTCAATTGATTGCCAACAAGTTTGTTTGTTTGGGTATGATTGAATATCTGACCATAGTTGATTTAATAGTTGCTGTAATACTTGATTCTCTAAAATTGCAAAAATATCCAATAAGACATCACCTGCTATCTGACGAAATGCGAAAAACTTTTCTTGATCTTCTAAATAAAGTGATGATATATCTTGATCTATTGGATACATGGACTTTAATCGAAATATCTCTACAATTTCTAATAAGAATTGATACCATCCACTAATATCAGATTTATCAGAGAGAGATACAATTTCTGTAACAACCGGTGCTAACAATTCACATGTTTCAAAATCACCTTTTAGGGCCATCTCCACAAGTGCTTTAAAATATCCAGATGATAGCTTTGGATTCTTTAATAATAATTTTATATGATTCTCTGCTATGTGTGTAAATAATAAAAAAATTTGATTAAATATTTGGTTCTCTTCTTTTAAAGCCAACATATAAATTTGTGGAAATATGGATAAAATTTTTTCTAATATTGAGTCAAATGAATTTGAATAACTTCTAAATATTTTGCCACCCATCAAAGTAAATAATTCATCCAATACCATTAAAAAATCTTCTACCAATAGTAAATTACTTGAGACTGCTTCAAAACATGTGGTTAAAATTTGACTATCAACTAAATATTCCCTTTATAAATTTTTTTTAATATAATTGTGATTTTAAAAATAAAAATATTTACAAGAAAAATGTAACTTACTTTGGGGAACAATCAAACAATATCCAACTTTTAAAACTTTTCAATGATAATTTTTTAAATGCTGTAGTTTGTTGATTATGCGGCAGTGTCATAATTTTTGAAATAACCTCGAATACTTTTGGGCTATATTTGCCAAATAATGATCCAACTTTATTTCTATTTTAATGAAGATCATATTAATATGAAAAAAAAAAATCCTATTATATTAAAGATAACTTACCTTTTTTCTTGTGTGATATAATCTGCATTTAATAATTCTTCTGGGAAAATTGTTAAAAGCTCTAAGGTTAAATTTATTAAATTTGGATTAAATTGGTCTAAATTATTAATATCGGGAAAAGAGAATTGTAAAACATCTAATATTGGGTTTGACCATAAGTCTGGTGTGGAATGACATGCTATTACTGATACTGCTAAACACAATCTAGTGATGGATATGGTTGAACAATTTGATAACTGTGTCTTTAGGAAAACAAGTAATCTATCTAAAAACTCTACTTTTAACTCTGTATTTAATGATAACCAACTTGTTTTAATTTTATTTTCGATTGTTGATGCTCCAAAATATTGAATTTCTCTAACCTAAATAATTATTAATAAACTTAATAAATATACTTTTTTTAACATAGAGTCAGTTTAGGTTGTATTTAATTACATTTGAAGATAATAATAGAGGAGCTATTGACCATGCTGAAAATGATCTTTGAAATAACATCAACCATTCTTGAATTCTTGGTAAATTACTATAATCATTATTTTGCGGAAAATAAAATGACCTCAATATTCCTTCCACTTTTTCGATTGTAAATTGTGATTCGTCTATATTTTCATTGCTATTACCTTCGTTAATATTTGTTAAATTCATTATTTATTCTATTACTTATTACTATTATATGTTATATTAAATCTATTTTTGATTTTTTAAAAAAAAAAAAAAAAAAAAAAAAAAAAGATAAATAAAAAAAAAGATGAAATTTAATATTTTAAAAATAAAAAAAATTTTAAAAAAAAATTTAAAAAAAAAAAATTATAATAAAATTAAAAATATGTCTTTATTTATAAACCAATATTTTAAAATTATGTGCTAGTATTACTGAAAACATAAATATTAATTGAATAAAACCATGAAAGTAAATTAAAAAAAAAAAAAAAATTTAAAAAGTTTTTAAAGAAAAATAAAATAAAAAAAAATAAAAAAAAATTAAAATTTTTTTTTTTCATATTTTATTTTATTTTTTTATTTTTATTCCGAATAATATTAATAATACCAATAAAATAATAATAAAATAAAAATGGAAGAAGCAATCACATTTAAAACATATTCATCTAATATATACGGGTTTTCAATCGACTATCCAGATAAATGGTTAATTTCAGAGAATAATTCATTTTTTGTGGTTGGTTTTAGAGAGTCTAATGAAGAAACCTTTCCATCATTCAATATTCAAATTATAGATTTAACAATGTTTGGTCCAAATGTCAACTATAGCTCATTTGAAGAAATGATTAGATCTCAAATTCTCAGAGTTGGTGCTAAAGCAGGAGCTTTCACAGATGAAAAAGTTGGTGATTTTAACGGTAGATCAATTATATTTTATATTCCAGAGAATCATATGAAATCTAAACAAACCTATTTCTTCAATAAAGGAAATGCCTATTTAATCTCATATACCAGTAAAGCAGACGACTATTTTATCAAGCATTTATTTGTACACGACCACGCCATTAGTTCATTTGCATTATTCGAAAGTAAAGGTTACAAATTCCTTCAATTGAAATCAACATTAGCTCAACTAACTTCAGATGATAGAAATCCAAACCAGTCATTATTTATGGAGTACTACACACCAAAGAATTGGGTTGAAAAAAAAATATCAAAGGAATCTATTAAATATACAGATAATGAAAATAAAGGCAACTCTTTATTAGTCCACATTAAGCAAGTTAAAAAAGACGATAGCGAAGATTCATCAACACCACTACCATCACCATCATTGGAACAGTATATTGCTGAAGAACTCGGAACCAATATTAAATCAGTCACCGAAACAAGTGTTAAATTAAATAATTTTATTTATGATTTTGGTAAAAAAATATCAATTGAAAACAGCAAATTGGTCGAATGGAGCAGCGCTGACAACAAAGAAGAACATATTTCATTGGTATTCCAAATGGACTTTACAATTATTTGCTTTACTTTCTCTACACCAATCAACGAATTGAATAGCTGGAGATCATGTTTCAATCGTATCATCGAATACTTTGGTTTAATCAACAAACAAAATAAAAAAGCTAAAGATAATGTACCATACGACTATTTCGACAATCTTATAATTGGATATTCATTTAGAGTTCCAAAATCATTCCAATTAACAGCATGCAAACCAAACGGCGAATATGTATCATTCAAAGACTCTGACGAAACCAAAAACCCAATACCATATTGCTTTAGAGTATTAGTTGAAGATCTAACTGACTACCCAGGTCAACTCAAACTTTACGAATATTCAAACGAAGTAGTATCAAAACTTTTAGAACAACCAGAAGCCAAACTATTAACTGAAGAAGCTGGTTTCATCCGTTTAGATAAACATTTAGCTCAAACATCCTCAATGCAATCATACGATGTCGAAATTCAACAACCAGCCCTCAGATTAATTGTTACCAGTGTACAAAAAAACCATGGTATCGTTCTTACAGTTCGTACATTATTCAACCAATTTGACAATATTTATAAAAAATCATTCTATGTCTTTGATACTTTCAACTTTTATAAATTAAATAAAAATTAAAATTGGGTAAAAACGAAAATCCAAATTAAAAATGAAAATGAAAATCATAATTCTTTTTAAAGAAGGAGAGAAAAGAAATTATTTTTTTAACCCCACACAATTTTTATTTTTTTCAAATTATCTTTTTTTATTATTTTTATTTTTTTTTTTATTTTTTTTTTTTTAATTTTTTTTAAATTATCTTTTTTTTTTTTTATTTTTTGTTTTATAATTTTAAATTTTTAAATGTATTAAAATGAATGGGCTTAAAAAGGTATTAGGGTATATGGGTAATAGAGTTAATGAATATATGAACCCTGACTCTAATGATAATAATGCAAATAGATCACCACCAGTAGCAAGTGTCAGTAACCAACAGCAATCATCACCTCCACAACAACCTCAAAATACAAATAAAAAACAAGATAAAAGACATAACGATCATGACGATGACGACGATGACGATGATGGTTTAAAGCAAGAAATAGAACTATTCAAAAGTTCATTAGTAAGTCATTTATATTAAAAAGAAAATAGAACGAATAACTGCAAGCATTTTCTAATTTTTTATTTTTTAGAAAATTACAAACACCTCATCAAGCGATTTAGATATTTTAATTATTAGAATTAATGACAAAATTACAAAGAATGATTTTGAAGAAGGTTTAAAACTATTAAAGCAATTTGTATATCTAGTATTCGAAGGGTTAACATCAAAAAGCGTCAATACACTTCAAAATGCAGGTACAACCTATACAAATTTATTTGAAAAATACCACATACCATCACTAATGAAACTAGAAGAACTGTATCAAACAAGTAGATCAAAGATTGAAGAAACAATGAGAACAAATAATGAAACATCATTAATTCAACTTTCAATAATACTTTCAATTGTACAACAAATTAAATATAAAGTATTAGTTAGACAACAACAACAACAACAACAACAACAACAGCATCAGCAACAGCATCAGCAACCAGTATACGAAGAAGAGGATGAGGGTTTAAATCTATATATCCAATTCCAAAGAAAATTAATTTTACAAGATTCAGGTCCAATTATTAAAGATATGATAAGAGTTAATGAAACACTAGAAGGAATGAATGATATAAAATCAAAGGTTAATTCAATCGACAATTGTCTATTAGCATTGAAAAAGGTTTTATCTAGTGTCGTTCAAAAGATCTCTGATACAGTTCATGTTAGCTCAGATCAATGGAGATGGAACCAAATTCTACACGAAAAATATCAAACCAAACTAAACGAATGGAATTCAAACTATTTAACTTTGCCACTTCACAACCAATCTGCAATGTACCTAGACAAAATCTATACAATTATTTTAGATAAAATTAAAGATGATCAATTGGTAAGCTTATATTTTCTATTTTATAATATTTTATATGCTATTAATACTAATATTGATCTCTATAGTTAAAAAAGATTACAGAAGCAAATTTATCAATTGAAGATTTAATTAATAATTTTAGATACAGCCAAGAAGAAATAGAAAGCATCCAACCATATTTAGGTATTGATGAACTTTTAAATCAAATATCAAGTATTTCTGAAATCTCTCAAAGATATATAAACTATATTCAAGCAAATGCAGAAAATGGCAAAAAACTACCCGAATTAAATAATATGAAAAGTAGAATACAAGAGATTTTAACCCATTATACATCACTTGAAGCCCAATATTTTCAACTATCATTTTCATTTGTAACTATTATAATTTTATTGATTTTTTTTATCTTTATTTATTTACTTACTTGCACTTATTTTAATATAAAGTCTATTTATGGTGATGATTTAAGAAAACTTATTAGTATAGAAATGGATGATAATAATCAAAAAAATCAACACCAACAACAACAATCAAATGATTCACAACACGATAGAACAAATTCGCAACAAAGAAAAAACAATGAACAATTACAAAGATATGGACAAGAGAATAATACATCCAGTATGGTAGATGATATATTTTTTATTTTTAGAAAAGTTGTAGCAAGAGCGATTTCAACATCAAGTTCACCAACAACCTGTGCAATTATTAACCTAACTTTAACTAATTTTGATATTATTTATATACCAGTAAGTAGACCCAACTTTATATATTTTGATATATAAATATAAAAACTAAATTATTTTTTTATAGTATTTCGAAAACTTACTACAATATACACTTAACCCACAAGATTTTGACCAAAGAAGAGATACATTTTTAATTATTTTAAACAATCTTACTTTAACCAATGATTATATTAATCAAGTTCAACATCAACTAAAAGATACAACATTAACCAAGTTCAAAGAAGAAAATGATATCAAGATGATTAATATTTGTATCGAGGGTGATGGCTTTTCCTCTATCGTCAAGCACATTAATAATATTATTAAAGTTAATGTTGATAAAATAATAAATGCCAACTCTGTATTTTTAAATAGATTTATGTGGCCATTTAATAATATAAACTACGAAATTACTGACGTAAGTATAATAATAATATATATAAAAATAAACTACCATTTATACTAACAATTTTATCTATAGGAAGAATTCGAAAACTATGAAATTAATGATCCATTTGTAATGGACTTTTTATCCAACCTCATGGAGTTACTAGGACCATACAAAAGAAAGTTTATGGCCGTAAATTTTGATCAAATGGTTCATTTAATGTCAACATATATTGCTAAGAATATGGAAGAACTAATAATGAAAAAAAGGTATGTAGTTTTATTAGTAATAATTTTTTGTTTGTAAATGTTTTTTTAAATGCTTTTATAAAAATATGTTATATATAAAAAAAACAAAAAAAAACTTAGCTTAATTCAAAACTTAATCATCCCCATTCACTTAAAAATACAATATATCTCCAGTCCTTTTTAGTGGAATATAAATTAATAATCTATATTGTTCAAAAAATCAATTCATATATAATATAAACCTTTTATTATAACAATCATTGCTTGTTTTTTTTTAAAATATTAAACTACAACCTAATAATAATCTATGCACAAATTAGTTTTTAATTAAAACTGATAATTATTTTTTATAATAATTTAACTATATTTAAAGTTATAGATAGATATATAGATTAATTAAAAATAACTATACATCAACTAAAAATAATAGATATATTTAAATTTGATGTTGTAAAAATGTGTGTCAAGTCTATAATTTGTGTGTGGCATAATTATTTGATTTTTTCTTTATATATTGTTGTTATTATTGTAATCATAAAAGTTTTCAACTATTTATTCTTATTGTTGCTATTATCTACAACACATAACATCATTTTTTATATTTAATGTGTCATCTTAGTGTTACACACGCTTGAAAACAATAATAATGTGGGTGGGGGTGTGTTAATTGTATATCTTTTTAAAAAAAATTTTCAGTGTAGTGCGCACCAATATAATTATAAATAGTGTCATTACGGGGTTTAAATAATAAAAACAATAATAAATCACTTTATATTTATTATAATAATATCTATTAATGATATTTATAAAATATTAAATATTAATTTCTCTATTTCTTTTTTTTATTTCGATATAATGATTTTAGATTTAACCAGCTTGGTGGTATACAGCTTTCAAAAGATATAAGAAAGATCATAGAATTTTTATGTAATATAACAACCGAACAAAACATTAGACACAAGTTTACAAGACTCTCCCAAATTTCCCATTTATTAACATTTGATAAGGTATGTAGTATTATAGTACTTAATTGTTTTTCTTCATAAATATAGCAATATTATTTTATCTGAATAGATATAATTAAAAGAATTACGCCAATATGATCCTATTCTTTTTATAATTAAACTTTAATTAATTAATAATCACACACGTTCACTTTTATTAAAAAACTACGCTCATAACCCCCACACCAAAACACTTTTTTTATAATTTTTTATTGTAAATTGGACTCGAATGCTTTATTCTTTTAAAAGATTTATTAGTCTTTTTAAAAAATATAGATGTGGTTATTTAATAAATTTATATTTAAATATATCGCCATATATAACCACACATTAACCCACTTCACAAAATTTCTAAACCACCACAAAAAAAAATTCATAAAAAAACAATCATTCTTAGATTTATAAATATATATACACAATACAATATGTATTAAACTTATGTGTGGTCTATTTATAACAAAAAAAAAAAAAAACTGTCACTTTTTGTAATAATAATAATTAATTTTTTGCCATATAATAATGATGACTTTTTTTTGTGGGTTATTGTCGTAGTGTGTGTGTTTAAATTTTTTATATAATTTTTTTACAATTTCCCACACATTAACACAAACACACTATGATAACTCAAAACATATATACATTTAATAAACCCAAAAACATATTTTCATATATTTTGGACAACTTAAAAAACTTTTTCTTTTTTATTATTTTGATTATTTTTAATTTTATATATAATATATAAATTGAAATAATCTAAAAATAAAATTTTTAAACCCTCCCTATTTAATAGATAACAGAATTTTATTTGCTGAAATTAATTCAAACAATAAAAATATTAACAACATTTTTTTTTTATAATATAGGCAAATGATATATATGAATATTGGGGACAAGAAGGATATGTGTGGAAGCTTAGTGCATTAGAAATTAAATTAGTATTAGGAAGAAGATCAGATTTTAAAGGTGGAGTTAATAACCTTAATATAAAGTAAACAGTAATTTTTTAATAAAAAAAATAAATAAAAAAAAAAAAAAATAAAAAAAAAAAAAATTCCTTTTGTCTCACCTCACCCACTCATTCTTTATTCTCCAATCCACCACACCCACTAATCCTTTCTTCATTCTTTCTTTGCTCTAATTATAATATTGTTCAACCTGCACAAAAGTTTTTTGAAATAAAATCACTCTAAACACACGACCACTATTTATTAATAAATAAATACATATACATATATATTATGTGGTAGTTGTAAGAGTAAGAGTAAGAGTAATAGTAAAAAGTGGTAGTGGGGGTAAAAAAATGTATATTTAAAATAAAATTTTTTATTTTTAATTTCAACATATATAATGCAGTTGACTTTCTTTTTTTATTTGTTTTGAGGTTAAAAATAAAAATAAAAAGCATGCCAAGATAAAGTGTATAATTATACCACTGGGAATAAAATATTTTGTATAGTAACACTCACTATTAAAGTGTTGTTAATATTATTATTGTTAATGTAGTTGCAACTACTTTTTTTGTTTTTAAATAAAATATATTATAATAAAGTGATTTTTCTATTACAATATTAATATTTAGATTATATAACAATCGAAACATTTTTTAATTAATTAATTAATTTTAAAAATAACTCAAAAAAAAAAAAACACACACTAATAAAAAAAAATCAATTAAATATATACCATCCCAACACCCACACCCAATATTAAAATAATTAATACAATACAATAACAACATTGACAATAACAACAACATTTTTTATAATTAATTTATATTTTATTATTGTTGTTTGTATGCTTGTTTATATTTTTGTTGTATTATAATAATTTGGATAATAAGAGACCTCAATTAGTATTTATAAAATAAACACTGTATTTAATAATAAAATAAAATAATTATTATTATTATTTTTTTTGAAAAAAAATAAAAAAATAAAATAAATTTGTTTTTAAAAATAGGTTTTTTTAATAATTTATTTTTGTATTTAACTCTATCTCTTTATCTTTCAATTAATATATATAGTCAATGAAATTATTATAATATTGTAGTAATAATATTATTTATATTTATTTATTTATTTTAAAAAAAAACTTAGTTTTTGTTTAGCATAAAAAAAAAAAATTTTAATCAATATATCATATATCAGCCATTATATCAGGGTAAGTAGCTTAATTTATTAAACAAATATATTTTAAATCACTATTGTTTTAATTTATTTAATATAAAAACATTATATCAACATTCAAAGATTAATATGTGGTAAATTTAACATTTATATCATTTTTATTACTTTGTATTTTTACATCTTAATTGGGAAAGTTTTTATTAAAGAAATTTTTTATATAAACAATACAATTCTCATTAAGACCAACACTTTTTAAATTGTTGTTTATTCACACACATCACACACTCTTCACAAATACAAATTTAATACACCCACATTTGTCCTCAAAACTTAACAAACTATTAAAAAAATTAATATAATTAACACACCACTACCACATATTGAGAAAAAAAAAATAACAAATTATTATATGTTTTAACACATAGTACCACGTATACCCAATTTATTTTACAAAACTTTAATTCAATCATATTTTAGAAATATTTTTTAAAATACTTAGAAAATCACTTAAAATTTTAAGTTGCTTTTTTAGGGTAATCATATAATTAAAATCAAATTTAACTCTTTTAAAAAAAAAATCTTTGGAAAATTTTAAAAATACCCACCAAACATCATAAAAACACTATAACTAATTAATTTTTTCTCAAATACAATTCCCCCCACACACACACTTAATATATCTATAATAACTTAATATTAGAAAATATTGTACATAAAAAAAAGCATTAAATATATTTATAAAACAATATTTTTGTTTGGTTTCTAATTCACCATCGCTGCACAGTTCATAATAAAAATAATTTTATTTGAACACATCATATAGAGGTAGTAGTAGGTAACTAACATTTTAATTAATTAATTTTAAAATAAATATTTTAATTTAATTATTTTTTAAATAAAAATTTAAGAAAAAATTTAAATGATTTAATTAAAATTAAATTTTGTATAAAAAAAAAAAAAAAATTTATAAAATTCATTTCTATTAAAACACATTATATATAATCAAATACCTAATACTATTTTTATTCTTATTCTTTTCTAAAACTATAAAGACCCTTTTCAAAAAATCCCTCTTTTAAAAAAAAAAAAAAAAAAAAATTTGTGGTAATTATTTAATTTTTCTTTCATTTTTTATAATTATTATTTTAAAAACATTCATATTATTACTACCTTTACACCCAACCTTTTATAATAACATAATAATTTGGTTTTTATTCTTTTCAAATTTTTAAATAATTATAAATAATTATTTAAAATTAAAACCAAAAAAACCAAATAATTATTTTAAAAAAAGTTGTTATTAATAAAAAGTTCACTATCCATAGCACCAACATTTTAATAACCCAATAAATATTTAATTATAATAATAACCTATACATATCAATTCCACCAGCACAACACTTTTAAAAAGAATCAACTATCTCTTTTTTATAATCCATATTATTATATTTTTTTGTGTTTAGATGTTATTGTTAAAGCACTCAATAACATCATTTAACTAAATTATGTTTCATTATAATTAAAAAAAAGATTATTGTTTTTTATTGTTAATTTTAATGTTATAACAAAATAATAGCGCACTCAATAGTAAGAGTATCTAATAGAGATTAAAATAATAATTTAATAATAATACATCAAAAAAATAGATATATGTTAAAATATGCGTTTAGGAATAAACTATTACATTTTCACGAATACTTTTACTATCATTAATGTTGTTTTAAATATTTTTTTTTTTATTTATTCCTTTTTATTTAAATTTTATTTTAACCATTAAAAACTCCCCTACCACCAAATTTTTTTAAAAGTCATCCATATATTATATTTTCAAAAAATAGA